TCTCAGCATGACCTCAGGCTGTCTTCGCTGCACTTGAACTTCGAACTGGGTTCGCAGGCTCCTCGCATGGGACCTTTGAAGTCGCATTGGATGGCGAGTTTCTATTCTGGAATCACTTGACCGCAACTTGGCTGTCACGTCTCTATCGATTCCTTCCACGTGTGGACCGCTCAGGATGCCCTTGACAGCCCAGTCCTACTCAGCAGTAGTCCTCCACTGTGAGCAGGATTTGGCACACGCCTTCCGGTTCGCGAAGGACACCCCCAGGACGGCCCTGCGTTCCAGCGAGGCTTGGCCTTTTGGGTTTCTTCGAGGCGAAGCCGCTCCAGGGGAGTTTGGCGGATTCTCACAAGGAATCCTGAAGTTTTCTGACAGATTCTGACAGCTGACAGCTGTCCTCTCCCTTCCCCACAAATCCCCGCTTGCTACGGCCCAAGCCCGCAGCCATGCTGGCATATGCTCATTCACACGATAAGGCAGGGTTTTCATGTTTGACACACTGTCAGGTCAGAGTCTGGCGAGACCGAAAAACACGGATACAAGCCTGTAAGGCACTGGAATAGAGGCCCAGTTGATCGCGACAGCACCCAATCCAAAATCAGCGTGCACGACGCGCAAAAGCAGCAACTGACTCGAACTGAGCCGCCTCAAATTCCCTGCAAGATCCTGTTATGAGCAGAAGCAATGCTTCAACAAGTCGCTACTTAAGCAGGGAGCTGTCGCATGATCGCATGAGTGCACGTCTGGTCGTTTACCATGCCGTGCACCTTGGACGCGTGACGACTCCCTTCGATTTCAGCCTGGGTCACAGTCTTTGCTGTACATGTGGCTTCTTTGTTGATCCAGTGTGCAGTTGCAGCACGTGCAAGTCGATGTCTCTGGTCTTCTGTCATCAGGCGCCCCTTCAGAATGGATGCGACTTTCGCTGAGTTGCTGAGGACATGTCGGGCGATGCCAGCTCATCCAATGGCACCGAGGCCGGGTTTGCGTGTCCAGGAAACTAGTTCAATGTTGGGATAGGATTAAAAATGTACATTTTTATTCCTTGTTTTTTTCAAGGACCCTTAAAAATGTAAAATGTTACCCGTTCGGAGCTTCGACAGCTTCTGGATCTTGCGCTCCAGTTGATACGGACGGATACAAACGCAAAACAACGTGCAGAAGCGCAGGTTCCTGACACGATTCGCCGACGTGGTTTCTTAAGGTAGAGAGGTGCCGTCACACAACAAGTCAGAAAAATGACATGTGTACATGGCTGGAGCACAGCGATTGCTACACTTAGTGCGACCGCTTCATGGATGAGAGGTCAGGTTGTCAAAGAAACGGCCATCACTACCACTGCACGAGGTAGCATAAGTCCCAGTACGTACAGCGCGCACTGTTCGGCTGCATTGGCAGAGAGCCCGTCGCGAGTTTTGTGAGAGGGACGGAATGTGAGTCCGTAGCGGCTGGGCAAGAACTTACCTTTAGATTAGCACCGCAGATTCAGCTGGGTCGACTGCTGATACGCGACGTCTGGCAACCTAATCTTCAGTCTGCGTTGCGCATGCAGTCAGGTGCCAGTGTTCCCTTTGTTGTCTGTTGGGTGTTCTCTCAATTTTAGTGATAATTCTGGGTGCCTGCAGTTGGAATTCCACCATATTTGCTCCAGCAGAGAGCTGGCACATCTCGTTCTGCTTCCGCGATCATTGTGGTTTGTCGTCTAGTTCGTGGCTCACACGGCTCATATGAAACAGTCGTAGTTTCTTCAGTTCATTCCGTTCGAAAGGGAGTGTGCGCGACCGAAAGGCGCGGTCGCAGAATTTCTACTCGGCGGAGTCGCCCTTGCCTTGGTCCAGGGGAGCATCGGTTGAAGGTTTAGGGTTTAGGGTTTTCCCGGTTTAGACATTAGGGTTTAAGGTTTTCCATGATCTAGGGGATTACTGAGATACTGGCTTGGCGTAGACTTAAGCATGTGAGAGTTTTCCGCCGGAGGGCGTGAGGTTCTCTGAGCTGCAGTTTGCTAAAGGTGGGAGTATAGACTAGGGTTTAGGGTTTTCACGTTCATGACGTCATGGTGTGAAGGCTGAAGGGCTGCAGGCCCACATCTAGGACGAACATGAAGCCCCGACCGACTTGGGGCGTTCAGGGTTTAGGGGTTGTTCCGGTTTGCGTAGGGATTCCAAGCCATGGTTCTTGGGCTAGACTCTTGCCTCAGGCCCAGTGCAAGCTTCTTGCCGTCCCCTGCTGCCTGGGGCTCAGATGCCTTGTCGGCTTCCACGAGTAAGATATTCCAAGACATCAAGACTCCCCAAACCCTCAACCCTGCAACCTAAGCACGCAAGCGGCCATCCTAAGCCGTACATCATATATACATATGCATGTATATGTATATACAGTAACACCATACTGTATGTTTATGTTGTATACGGTACATGATACGTTGCATTATATTTTAAGTAGAACACCGAAGCCGACCTGGCTGTCCCGGTGTAGGCCATGGTCCTGACGACTCGAAAACCAAAGCCCTCAAGCCTGTCATACCCGGAGCTCCGCAAACAGAAACCCCAAACACCCAGAAACTGGAAACCTTGAAGCGCGAACCGAACCTAGGGCCCTCGACCCAGAAACTGGGAAAGAACGCCCTCAGCCTCGAAGCAGACCGGCGCAAGCGTGAGGAGCAAGGAGAGCCAGGAAAGAGGCGACTCTGCATCTCGAAGTTCTGGGCAGAAAAATGCTTGTTAAAAAAGAAGCGAGACCTAACCCTCACCACAAACCCTAAATGCTAGAACCCAAAGGGACGAGTAAAAATAAAGGAACCGCAAAGCCTGGAACCCTAATATCCCAAACAAACCTAACCCTCAAAATCCCAATTGAGGTGGCCCCGCGGAGCGCGCCGCACAACCTGCAGCGGAGGACTCGGAACATTCCCAAACCCTAAACCAGAAACCCCTGTGGAGGGTGCAGTGGTTTCGAAAGTTGAGGATTTGGGGTCAGGGTTCTTGGGTTTTGCGGGGTTGGGGTGTAGGCTTCGGGGGGCCAGGGGATGTAGGGTTTAGGGCGTAGGGTCTCAGGGTTCAGTGTCCAGGGTCTCAGCGGCATTCGGCAAGAGGATCGAAGCTGGATGTTAAAGGTGTTTGGAGGGGTTCCGACAGAATTACGAAGGAGTCCCACGCACCAGTGCCAGCATTGCATGCATCTTAGCAGGCTGTATGAAGTTTCAGGTCCTTATTGAGGGTTTACGGTCTTGTCCGGAGATGTCCAGAGTTTTGAAAGCTTTGTTGATTAAAGGATGAAGGCATGTGATTAACCCCAAACCTACACCAAACCCCAAGGCCCAGCCCTCAAGAAGTCACTAAGCACCAGGACGATGCCCTTCCAGTTGGAGGGGGCCCGGCCCGGGGCTAAAGGTCATGTTCTTCTGTGAGTGTCAGCTTTCGCTGTTTCTGAAAACATGGTTTCCTGAAGTTCTGCAACTAGTTGTCATGGTTCTAGTCTGGCTTGTCTGTGTTCCAAGTTGGCTGCAGAGACTTCAGCCTGGGTGCTTGTGCTGTCTCCTGTCGCAACAAATCTTCCAGCGCAACCTTACACTAAGCACCCAAAGCAATCAAACTGCGAAGCTTCCAGCCTATCAGCCTTAGCAGTAAAGTGCTTGGCCGTCAGCCTGCTGGCTTCTCGCGGTGCCCTGTGCGGACGCGGAACCGTTAGACCCGAAATCGTGAACCCATAGAATCTGTTGCAGCAGCAACACCAACCACAACCGCATTTGGTAGTAGTGTCGTAGTCGTACATCGTCGTCGTCGTTGTCCTTCCTCGTAGTAGTAGCAGTGGTAGCAGCAGCAGTAGCAGCAGTAGCAGTAGCAGTAGCAGCAGTCGGAGGAGGAGGGAGGCGGAGGCGCAGGCGGAGGCGGAGGCGCAGGCGGAGGAGGAGGCGGAAGGAGGATGAGGATGAGGAATCAGTGGCAGTCGGGAGTACTCGTGGTAGTTTTGGCAGCAGTGGTCGTAATGCCAGTAGTGGCAGCAGAATGCAGTACTAGTGGTGCTACCAGAAGCCATGACTGCAACAGCAGCAAAAATGATCAGCAACTCCTAAGGCGTACTGTCGAGATGGCGGTTATGCGTGGTGCGCTCAGTCTGCTTTGAGTTTTCAAGATCTGGAAGATCTGCATTCTGCCTTTGGGGCGTTGTCTTCTGTCTTCACACCCACCTATACGGACCCTAAAAAACAGAATCTGGACCAACGCTTCAAAGCTTCGAGATCGTTGCAGCACTTGCCTAGCCCTCCCTGTGGGCCGAGGTGATGGTTCGCCAGGGGGCTCGGGAAGTACATCCCCCGCGTCAGCGGATTGGCAGCGGACGCAGAAGAGGCCTTTGCTTTGGGGTTGCCGCGTTGCCAATTTACCTTCTTGAGTCGAAGCTTTGAGTTGTGTGGTTGAGCTTTCTGATGTGCGACTCCATGTTGCCAAGCTGTGAAGCAAACGGTTTGTCGGTTTGTCGTTCTGAGAACAGTATTCCGAAGTGGGCCTTTGGTTCAGCCGGAAGCCAAGCTGCCAGCAAGTGCCGACATTCCGGTGCCAGGCACACCTGGTCGGGCAATGCTCTCATAAGCTTCTTATCAGGCAGCTCCCTGCACTGTTCCGCGAGTGTTTTGAGGGAGGGAGGATGATCTGTCTTGAGCCATCAAAGCCAACCCGATCTCTAATTTGCAGGTAGCAGCAAGTTCTTCAGCACCCAGGTGCCTTGGCACTGTAGCTATGCAATTGTGCCCATTTTGGTCACGGCATCAGCCAAGGACGACGAGCCCCCCCTTGCCGACATGCCCGTGGCGGTCAACGAGGCTTTGCGCAGCTCATCGCAGTTCTAGGACTGTAGCCGTCGCGTCCTCCGTCTTGCTATGCTTGTGTGACAACGGGGCTCTCGAAGCCTGACACAGCGAACACTTCTGTTGCCAGTGCACAGTGATCTTGAGCTCTTGGAGAGACTCTGATCCTGCTCGCCGCGGCGTTGCTCAAACGACTGGAATGCAGAGCCCACGCAAGCCAGAACCAGATTCCATCTGCACTGCCAGTGGCAGCCACCTTTCCGAAGAGCCCAAACACTTTTTCCAAGCACGAGATATCGGAGCCTTTCCCAGTACCTCCCGAAGCAGCATTCTTCGGCTGCTGGACGGCGCAGGCCCCAAGTTGGGCCCTTCTATCCTATAGTATACATATAGTTATTGTATACAATATATATTATAATATATCATGTAATATAATGATATGTAATGTTCGTCTCTTGCCAGCGAAAGGATAGCCGTCATGGGGAAGGCCGGCAAGAAGAAAGCTGAAAAGAAGGGCTTCCTGGATGGCCAGGCCCGATCCCTTCTGCGTTCACATGCATATGTGTGTGTATATATATACACACACACACATGCATACGTACATACATACATATACATATGTACATATATACTACATCCGGCTATACTATTTTAGACTAGACTATACCATATCATTAAATTACATGATATATTATATTATATATTGTATGTTATAACTATATGTATACTATAGGATATTTCCCTGTATCATATCACACTATGTTATCTTCATGCTGTGTTCGGTTTTATCATACTGTCCCATCTTTTACTGTATTATAAACTGATATGATATGGTGCGATATCATATGATATGATATGGAATGATATGATATCATAGTCTATTCTAATCTGTCCTGTTCCATTCGACTATATTGTATCATATTGTATGATGTTCTACTCCATTACACTATATTGTATTATGCTGTGCTGTGCTATGCTGTGTAATATCATGTTTGCTATTTCATATCCACATCAGAACATGTTATACTATATAATGACTTGGTATGGTTGGTTATGATATGTTATGGCAGTCTGTTCGACTATTTTCTAGTCCATTGTGTTCTATTCTACCACATCATTTCATATTATACTATGTTACATGATGCTGTATTATGTCACGTTACCATATATCATGGTGAATGATGTTGTATTACATGATATTTCATTATGTTCGATGGTATGAGATGCTGTGACATTTATAGTATTTTGGATTATGAGATGTGATATGATATTTCATGTAGTTATATTGTATTACATGACGTGATCTGGTAATGAATTGCACTGTACTAGGTTGTCTTATACTATGTTAGGTTATGCTATTTTATGTTTCAGTCGTCATGTTGTACATGCATACAAAGATACATCTGCATCCACATGCATCTACATTGTTGCGTGCATCTACCTACTTACCTACCTACAAAAATACATACATACATACACATACATACATACGTACATTCATACATACATTCCATTCCTTTTCTTTTTGTACCCTTCCCTTCCATTCCATTCCATCCCATCACATCCCTCCCATGTATGCGTGCATTCCTGATTGCATTCATGCGTACATACAAACATACACATGGATACGCATGGTGGGGCGGTCTGGGGAATGGTGAGTGGGGTGTGGGTGGGTGGTGGGTGGGTGGGAGGGCAGGTGTGTGGGGGGTTGGATGGGTTGATTCGTGGATAGGTGGATGGGTGGCTGTGTGCGGATTGGCGGTGGCTGGGATGGGGGTGACTGGCTGCGCGGTTGGTTGCGTGGATGGATGGATGGTGAATGGATGAACGGATTGATGGATGATGTTGCGTGTTGGGATGCTTCTTTTTCTGTCACTCTGCCTCTCTATATGTCTCTTTGCCTGTCTGCTTGTCTGTGAGTCTGTTTATCTATGACGAACAGATCCGACAGGCCCAGTAGGTTCTTCTCACATACTGCCACACCTGCTGGAATCGATGATGATGACAACACCCGTCGCAGATTGGGAACATTTTCTTTCTGACGATTGCCGCGGCAATCGGTTGCTTGGCAAAGTGTGAGAGTTTGCAAAGGCTTTGTTGAGCCAGACACTGCCAAGGCTACTGTCGCTATCACCAGATTCCCATCCCCATCCTGGACGATCTGGTGCGCAAGGCTCTTTACGGTGGCGCCGGAGGCGGGATGCTGAATCGTCCGAAACGAAAGGCCCTGCACCACACGCTAGAGATTCTAACTGTAAATCCTTGATTGACGTTCATATCTTTGAGCCTCAGGCAAACTCATGCCATCTCTACGCAGAACCGACCTCCAAGCCTTCGCCCGAGGCGGCGCGGGAGGCGCAGACGAGGTTCTCACCTCTTTCTCCGATGCCAAGGCCGGCAAGGCCATCGCCAGGGCCTCGGCACAGGAATTGGCGAACACAACAAATGCATGCCGGGGTTGTGGGGATTTCACAGGGGATTTGGGGTTCTCATGGTGGCCCAAGCCAAGGCCACCAGCGACCTACTCGGCCAGATCCAGCGCTTTTGCGGGTCCAGGGGCAAGTGCACAGAAGACTACTGGGTGGCCTGGCTGCAGCCAGGGAGTCGACCCGAGTCTCTACTGTCGAACATCTCCATCCCAGAAGTCTGAGACCTCATATCCAAGATCTTAAAGCCTTCGCCCCAGTACCTCAAAGATCCTTCTACACACCTCCCGAATCCGCAAACCCTCCCACCCCCCATCCTCCGTGATCCTCTCCAAAATGCAATTCCCCCCACCCCGCGAAGTCACCACTGGAAGACAATCTACCCTAAAGCCTAAAGTTATAAAACCCGCAACCCTAAACCCTAAAGGCCCTAAAGGCCCTAAAGCCCAGGGACCTAAAGCCCACCACCATAAACTTCAAACCCAAACCGCAAAATCCTGAAACACGAGCCTCGAAGCCAAGGAGGCGATCCCGAAGGTGGCAGAGGCCCTGAAGAAGGGCCCGGGCACTTGGGACCGGAAGCCCATGAAGAAGGCCAGGCTCAATAGGGCTTCGGAGTTTAGTAGGGGTTTAGGGGTTTAGGGCTTAGGGTTTTAGGGGTTTAGAGTTTCGGGATTGGCTCAGTAGGCTGCAGGCTTTGGGGAAGTTTAGGGCTCATGGTTCTCGGTTTGGGGGTGCAGGGTAAAAGCTCTGAGAGAACTTGCAGGCTTGACCCTAACCTTCGGCAGCTGTTGTCCCCACAGAGTGCGAGGATTCGGAGTGCTGTTTTCCTCCAATGGGCCAGGCCAAGGCCAACGAGCTGGATGCCAGGGTCCCAAGCAGAGCATGCGGGAGACTTCCTTCGTCTTGAGGTAGTTGCTGAAGATGGTTCTTTTGTCATAAGTCTTGCTGGTGTTCGCTTTGTCATGATTTCGGTGTTGCTTTCCCTGCAAGAACTTGATTTCTCGCCTTTGCCACAACCTTGCAGGAGGTTCTGTTCTGGGGCCAGCATACTGACGGCCTATCTTACTGGTCCTTGCCCCTGAACAGCTGAGAAGCCTATGCAGTAAACCCCCACCCGCCCCCACAGGACACATTTACCAGAGAGCCCATCGCACTGACTTAGACGTCCTATAATCCACGAATGACCCCGAGCGCTTCCTCACCACACACGTAATTGATATTATCTGCGAGGGTAGTCATCTCGTCTGGACCACCATGAGTGCTGGAGTGCAAAGGCCTATGTCCGAGGATCTCCATGTGCTCTGGGGGCAGTGCAGATGTCATTTGAAGCTGTCGTCTGTATCGTTATGTTCATCCCCAGGTGACTGGGCTATGGATTTTGGCGTCACTGCATGCGCACTAAAATAGTGCTAAACTTGGGGGACTTTGGAGGCCCGCTACTGGAAGTTTCACGGGTGCTTACTCGTAGTGGACTGTCGGTGAATACGCAACATGCCGCTTTGGCTATAGATTTCTTGGTTCTTCGTTGCAAAAAGTTCGACACTGAACCCTAAACCCAAAGCATTAAATCCCAAGTTCGCATCCACTTAGTCGCCAAGTGTTTCGCTTCGTGACAGTCCGCATGGCCGATTGCATGTATCCCAAGTTCGAAACCCTGAACCCTCAGCCCTAGTGCCATGATCTTTCGCCTCAGGGTCTCCTGGTAAAGTTGGCAGAGCGGCCCGAAGCCAGGCCCGCCGAGGGAGGGGATGTGCCTAATCTTGTTGTAATCTACTACGGCTACATACTACCAATAATGACAATGACAATAATGATATAATTAACAATCGTAAGAGTAAGAGTAAGAGTAATTGTAATGGCCATAGCAACAAGAATGGGACTAGACCTGGTGCTAGTGATAGTCGCAACAATAATACGGTACGATTAAGAACAGGAATTTCTAGTCGTCGTCTGTGTTGTCGCCTTGCTCGAAATTGTCGTCGTTTTTGGGACTGCGGTCTTCAGAAACGGCATGGGCCCTCGCAAAGCCTTGATTGACGTGTCGAGAGCCCTTGCCAAGTTTCAGGGTACTGCAGGAGGACCCTAAACCCTCAAGAAGGCTCAAGCCCAGACTGAAAGCACAAGACCCTGAGTAGCCTGCTCGTATGATGGCTTATAGCACGACGGCCTGCCTGCGCCTGCCGTCCGACTCCAAAGTCCGGTTCAAGCAGGAGAAACCGACATGGCCTGGCACCACCGCTTTCGAGCTGCTCGAGGCCTCCTGCACCGTCACCTGGTATTAGCGGTAGCGTTGACGGAATCGGACGTAGGGTGGCCTCGTGCACAGGCCAAAAAGAAACGGAAAGAGTCCGAGAACAAGCGCCGACGCGACCGGCGTAAGGAGCTGAAGGACAAGGAGGACTCGGACTCCGAGGCCCGGAGTGCGGGGGACCGTGCATCTGCCTCGACGTATGTAACACACCGGCCGAGGCTTGCCGAAACTTCAGCGCCTGCGGGACCAGGCGCAGGGAGGACAGGCCGGAAGAGACAACGCCCTAGCTGTCTGCGCGACACGAGAACACTTGGAAGCACGACTCCCGCAAGCGGCTGAAGGCCAAGGCCGACGAGGGCCGGCGTATGCAGGAGGCCATCATGATGTCCGACCTAAGCACACGGCCCCCTATATGACGTTGACTACAGGAGCTGGACAAGCTCGAAAAAGAGCTGGAAGAAGCGCGCGGCAAGAAGCCGACGCGCAAGGCGGCGGCCTTGTCTGTCGCGCGCAGTCCGCGAAGTCGAAGAAAGCTGAGCTCCGACCGAAGGAAGTCCTCCTCATATACGGGATGCGGGCGCTTCCGGTCCGCTCCGCAGATGTGCAACAGAGCGCGCCAGCCGTTCACGAGCCCCTGCGGCTTGTTCTTAATTGTTGACTCGAAAGGACGAGCCTCCGGCAAACACCAGCTCCACTGTGACGACGACGGAGGCCAGACTCGGATTAGAGCACGACTTGTCCAGGGCCAGTTGCCGTGCCCGTCCCCGTCCCGAAGGTGCCGCTTCGTCCGAACCACGAAACGGAGGTCCACTGCCAGATTCGCTGACGCAAGCTCTCACTCGCCCGCATGCGACCTCTCCTTTTATATAGGCAGCCAACACCGGTGGCGAGCCAACGGAGAAGGTCCGAGATGCAGGTGGCGCGGGGTTGCCACTCGTGATTGCACCGCGGCAGGGCGCGAAGAAAAAGAGCGACCCAACAAGGAAAGCGCGAGATGTCGGTGGCGCGGCTCTGCGGCGTAATAAAACTACGATTGCTTGCGGCAGGCCGCAGAGAAGAAAAAGCTAAAGCCCGCGGAGGAGCCATCGGAGGGGGCAACGAGGCGGGCTCCGTGTACTCATCCCTTTGTAAGGGAGGACTGCTGTTGAAGAAAAGACATCCTGCGCTGAGGGACGGCTGGGAGGAGGTGCGTCCGGAGACGGCGCAGGAGGAGGAAGACAGCTCGTTGTGACGAAGTAAAAGAGAGATCTCGAGCGCAGGAACAACACCTTCAGCAGGCCGTCGCGGCCTCCCACTCGCTGCCCGCACCTCCGCATCAGCCCCGCGGAGATTTCCAAGCCGGGTGCCCAGACCGAGACTTGACCGTCGCCGCAGGCGCGACAGCATGTTCATAGCGCTATAAGAGGTCAAAGACCCTGGCGGAGGCACGAACCACTGGGGCACGAAACAAAGATCTGCGTTTCGACTGGGAGAAGGGATGGCTCCGGATGCTTGTGCAGCATTGGAGCCATGAAAGCCGCAAAAAAGGCAAGGTTTGGGCCGGGCGAAACAACATCCGGCGGCCGCAGCCAAGGACCGGCTTCCTCAGCTTATGCTTCAGGAAGCCATTGGTTTCGATGGTGCGGGCGCTGCAAAGGGTGCTCCGGCTCTTTGAGGTGAAGATGTTCAACGATGTGGCAGAGCTGAAACATGATGCCGCCTTTGGCCTCTTCGGCCAGGGAGCTATCATGTACTCCCGGGCGGAGTGGGCAGACGGACGGCGAGCCTCTTGCAGACCTGGTCACGGCCAATTTTGTTGCAGTTTGGCATCGGTGGGCATGTGCCTAGTTAGTGGCCCTGCAGGACCAGTGGCGGGCGCTACTTCGAACCCTGCGCAGGGACTACCAGCTGGGGACTCAGAAACATTGAGCGACTTCCACCGGACGAACACGACAAGGGCCATTCCCCGGGCCTGTAGCCATATTGCGCAGGATAGGCGTGAAAGTTGCGTGGCTGACACCGGAGACGCTGCCGCTGGAGCTACAGCCGTAGACTGAACGGCTCTCCTACAGCCGTATACCGCGCTGTTTCCTGCTATGGTGAGCTTTTGCCAAGCCTTGGCTCTGATTTTGGTGGATAGCCGAGCTCAGACTGCGTGGTGTAAGCTGGCTTTGACTGTGACGACCTCGGTGCAATGCTGAACTGATGACTTTAACAGATTGTCATACACAGTTCCTTGAATTCATTTTTTGGCTTGAGTATATTGCATGGAGAACCTGCCCGTAATGGATGGGGCGCTTCGGTGCATATCCAACGGATTTTGTATACGTGCATGGGGTTGGGCTGTGCCGTGAAGGACTAGAAGTCGGAACAGCGGCACATCGATGAATCAGTGAATTATGAAATCAAAAAGACTGTGCCATACAGCCTCTGAGAATTCATGAATTCAAAGACCATGCTGCTGGTGGCATTTGATATTGGTGATGCAGCATAGGTGACCAGTGTATGTGATGGTGAATTATTGAATGGTTTTGCTCCTGGATCACTGTCTTACAATTTGAGCGCGCTGAGCAATGCACCTTCGTTGTCAAGAGCTGCATACTGCATGTTGATAGCGAGATGGGTTGAAGGCTTGGCAAGAGAATTCCTGATCATGAGGAGTTGCAGGTGAGTAAGTCTTTGAGCTGTATTTTGAAACAGCGGGCACGCGTCCCAAATGAGCAGTTCGATACTGGTCCCTCTGTGTGCTGTTAGAATATAACAGTCTTACTGGGTTGGTTCGGGAGACCAGTGTTGCATAGTGCTACAGCAGCGGAGATCTTGTGGAATATGTGGAACCTTGCCTTGTGCGGTGCGAGTGGAAACCCTAAAACCCTAAGCCATGAATCCTACCCTACACTTCAAACCCTAAACCTTAAACGTGCGGCCTCAGGCTCTGACACTCCCCCGTCGGAGCAACTTCCTCTGTCTTGAAATAGCACCCCTAAACCCATCAAGCCTAAACTCTTAAAGCTTGAAGCCCGAAAGCCCCAAAACCCCAAAGCCCATAACCACGAAACTCTAAATCCCTAAAGCTGTATGCATCTTCAATTGTAGTGGAGATACGGTGGACTATGTGGGAGCCTTGCCAGAATGCGAAATTGCATAGACATTCAGTATGTTAGAGTACATTACATTCTGTGTTCGAGTATCTTATCGTATCGTCTAGTAGATTGCACCATCTTCTTCATTGTCTCACTGACGCTGAATGCTTCGCCAGCCTTGAAACCAGAATCCGACATCCTGGATGCCCGAGGCCCTTAAGGCCCTAACGCCGTCATCGCAGACGTCCAACCCTGTTAGCTTACTGTGCTAGTCGCTTCCCCCGTTTATTAACCACCTGATAACAAAACCACTTTCCGGCAACTCCCGCTGAAACCGATGTTGAATTAGGGAGATGCAGGAGCAAGAGCAGGAGCGAGGACCAGGACCAAGAGCAAAAGCGGCAGCAACGGCAAAAGTAGGAGCAAGAACCGCAGCAGGGCAAGGGCAGCAGTAAGCTTTGACAGGACACAGCAGCAAGAGCAAGAGCAGAAGAAGGAGCAAGAGCCACAGAGGGAACTGGAGCAAGAGCAGGAGCCAGAGCATGAACAAGACCTTCCCCATAGTGACACTAGACGGACAAATACACGCTAATAATACAACAACTCTTCGAGTTTTATTCAATGGGGGCCGTTCAATATCCGGGGCAAACGATCAGTGACTTTTCTAGTGTACTTCCTCCATTACTCTGCTGGACTACGTATGGTGCCGGCTGAGACTACGATAAGTAACTCATGCTGTTTGCGACAGCAAGACGAGTCTGGCTATCATGGCTGTTGTGGCTAGTTTCGTTTCAGTACGATGGTTCGCATATACTGAACGGGCTGTTAGTGCTAGTTGAGTAGTAACTGAAGCGAACGGTTGCTATCCGTAGTATTCCTGTTGACTTTCCGCTGCTCAGCAGTGGCTGCGATTCTTCTTCTCGCAAGATGTCTATCTAGATGCAGCCAGAGAAGTCCTCAAGAGCCTATTCAAAGGAGTTATGGCCGCTGTAAGCCCAATGAAGCCTTGGCAGTCCCTCTTTGCCAGATTCCGACGGTTTATGATCCTAGATCGGATTCGAGAGCTGGAGAGTTAGAAGCACCGAGCTGTTTGCAACATGGTGTCTGTGCAAGTTGGACTGATGAGTGGCAGGACGGTCGCATTACGTGCAGAACTGGATGAAGAAGTGGACACACTAAGGCAACGGGCACAGATAGCGCTGGGAGGCGGCAGAGGGCGACTCGTGGATTCATCTGGAGGCATTCTGGATGGACGTGCCTCGCTCAAGCGAGCCGGCGTGCAGAATGGTGATTCGCTGACCTTGCACGTCAAGCCCAGTCATGTTGCGCGCGCTTACGGTTGCTTCGCTGCTGTCCTTGGGGATGGATCTGTCGTGACATGGGGAGACCCAGAGTTTGGTGGTGACAGCACCGCTGTGCAGGATGAGCTGAAGAACGTGCAATGCATACAAGCGACAGAAGCTGCTTTTGCTGCCATTCTGGTCGATGGCTCTGTCGTGACCTGGGGAAATCCGCTCCATGGCGGTGACAGCACTGCTGTGCAAGCTAAGCTTAAAAACGTGCAACATATCCAAGCGACGGCAGGTGCTTTTGCTGCCATTCTGGTCGATGGTTCCGTTGTTACGTGGGGTGATATCCGCGGTCATGGTGAGAACATTGCTGTACAGGGCGAGCTGAAGAATGTGCAACAAATCCAAGCGTCAGAAGGGGCTTTTGCTGCCGTTCTATTTGATGGCTCTGTCGTGACATGGGGGGACCCAGAGTTTGGTGGTGACAGCACTGCTGTGCAGGCTAAGCTGAAGAACGTGCAACACGTACAAGCGTCAGCCCGTGCTTTTGCTGCCATTCTTGTCGATGGCTCTGTCGTGACCTGGGGACATTTCGAGTTTGGTGGTGACTGCGCTGACGCGCAGGATAAGCTGAAGGACGTGCAACACATCCAAGCATCGGAAGGTGCCTTTGCTGCTATTCGAGCCGACGAGTCTGTCGTGACGTGGGGTGATCCTGACAGTGGCGGGGACAGCACCTCTGTGCAGCATGAGCTTCAGAACGTGCAACAAATTCAAGTATCAAGCTGTGCTTTTGCTGCTCTTCTTGTCGATGGCTCTGTCGTGACCTGGGGGCATCCGGCATTTGGTGCCGACAGCGATGCTGTGCAGGATAAGCTGAAGAACGTGCAACACATCCAAGCGTCAATATGTTGTTTTGCTGCCATTCTTGTCGACGGGTCTGTCGTGACCTGGGGACGTCCAGACTTTGGGGGTGATAGCACTGCTGCACAGGATGAGCTGAAGAACGTTCAGTTCATTCAAGCGTCAGATCGTGCCTTTGCTGCCATTCTTGTCGATGGCTCTGTCGTGACGTGGGGACATCCCAAATTTGGTGCTGATCCCACGGTCTTACAGGATAAGCTGAGGAACGTGCAGGACATCCAAGCATCGGACTGTGCTTTTGCTGCGATTCTGGTCGATGGTTCAGTTGTGACGTGGGGACATCCTGACACTACAGAGCTAGCTGAAGAACGTATAGCTTGACAGCATCCGTAGACGTGTGTTTGCCAGATGCAGGTGATACTGAAGAGCAGACAGTTGGATCGGAAACATGAAGCACGCTTGCAGTATTCCGTGTCGTGGAAGGACCGGCAGCCAGTCCGCAGGAACAATTCCAACCAGACGACAACTGAAGGCAGAGCATCGCAGATCGGGGAACTTAGAAGGACGTGCCGAGTGCCACCAGGCCAACAGTGCAAGTCAATCGTCCCGAAAAACCGTGCGCAGCACATCCGCGCCACGAACGTACCTCTGGCTTCAAAGTGGAAAAGGAAGGCACATGCCACTCAACAGATACATTTTCCCCACTCTCGGTATAGCTTACGGAAGCAGCCCCACCCTGGGATTGCTAGAGTCGGGCCCAAGTTGGATAACGGTGCCCTGCATCCAGGAACGATGCAGTCTGGGCGGCGTTGCGCAGCATGTCCAAGGAGGGGCGAGCTGAAGTCTGGAGAAGTTATCGTGGTCTTGTGGCGGCATCGCGTTCACGCGGGGATGAAATTCGATCGCTGGTTGAAGTCCTTTGAATCCGACCTGTGGAAACCATCATTACCGTGACTGTTGTAGCAAGCCTTGACATGAGCCGAGCCATCGAAGCTAGGTATGAGGGGAGCATCGGGGGTGCGAGAGAAGCAACTATGCAGAGGAGCTCTTGGACGTGACGCCAAAGTCGATGTGACTTGACCTCATCACAGCGGCACGGGACGTGTCAATAAGAATCTAGCAGCTAGTTCAGCTAACAGAGGTTCAGAGCCGTCGAGTACTTTGCAAGCTAAGGAAGGAATCTTTAGCCTCACGTGTCGCGCTCAAAAGCACCAAGCCGCCCGATGGGAAGCCGATCGTGGAGGAGGAGCCCGAGAAAGAGGCGCGACTGGAGAGGAAATGTCCTTCCATTCCAGGTTCTTGAAGCCAGTTATAGCGCAAGCAGATGTTGGAGTAGCTTCTACTGTAGTCAGAAATGTAGTGAGGGTGGCTAAAGACGGCCGCAGATTTAGTGCCACAGTCTTGAACCAGTGCAAGCCTAACAAATTTGTGAGTCTATCGGGCTCTCCAGAAGCCTACTGTCATAGCTGCCTTCTATCAGTACCCGCCCGTTTGCCTTGAAGTCTCAGGAGGTTGTCGTGGACGACCTGCCGTGAGCGCCGGCTGCAAGCCAGAACTTCCACAATATTCCTAAACCCTAAACCTTTAACTCAGGAAAAAGGTGCTGACAAAAAGCCTTAACCCGAAACTTCTTAAGAAGGGAGTCGCCTCCGACATGGACTCAAGCTTAAGCAGTGGCCGGGGTGCACAAGCGGGCTGTGCTTGCTGAGTCAACAAAGCTCAAATCGCCTCCAGTGGAGAAGAGTGCAACTAAGACTGGTACATGTCTAGCAATGACGTAGCAAATTGAACGAACGTGGTCATGGTCATGGCTGGCAGCTCCCCGGATTTTGGCAAAAAAGGAGCTGGGCCGACTTGATGCTGGGCAGATGCTTCAGATGCGGCACAGAACTGCTTCGCAGGTGACTTTGGTGGAACAGGATCATGAGTGGGGAGGCGGTGCTGATTCGCCCGGCACTCCTGAGACATAGTTTGGACACCCCAGTGCTACCCGAGACGTGACAAGGTCCTCTTCCGATTCCTCCACTCCGCCGCGAGCGCGAGCTCGAGGTGCGACGGGCCATGCTTCAACGAAGCCTTCTATGGCTGGTCCTGCGTAGAATCTTCAGCCTTCGATTGGGGTTCCCTGTAGCAGCAAGTCCCTTGCTGCGAGACGGTCCATTAAGCTCGTTCCGGCGGCGCTGTATCGGCTCCAGAGCTGTATGACATGAGCATGGAAATCATTTCATTGCCTCTGGAGGCTAGAGATCAAGAGATCTCACGTCCTGGAAACACCCAGCAGACCCGCGTTTTTCCCGCATTCTTGAAGCCAGAGAGAGTACAGCTCCACGTCAACACGAAACGAGACTTCCCGCAGACTCAAGAGGGGGGGGTGAAGAGAAGCCCAATCTACGTATCCGGAGCCTCGACTGGCCACCTGTGGCCCGGCACCGCTTTCACCATGCCCTGGGGTGGCGGCGGCGGAAGCAAGACCGCTAAGCTCCGAAGGGGTTTGGAACTATTTGAGCTTGAGATGCAGTTGCTTTGTGTTGTCGAATGAGCGCATGTTTTCGGGATGCAGGCACCGTGCCATGACCATTCTCACGGCATTTGCTTCAGCGAGCGTTGCTTCTCTCTTCGAGTGGCTTGCAAGACAGGAGCAAGCTCGGCGGCAACCCTGGCAGCATCAAAAGGCTCGGCGCAGCAACCAGGGAAAAACACTTTCGTGTTCGAGTTCCTGTTTAAGGTATGATATGGACATATGCGGACTACATGGAGCTTGGTGTTTTCTTTTCGAGCGGGCTGTGGTGTTTCTTCGATCTGTTTGCGACCTCCAGGCATCCACAAGTCTGAAGGCACAAACCGGGCCGCATCTGCAACCGGAGGGCTCAAGTCCGAGCCAGACCCGACCCTCTAGCACAAACCCCAGATCCGCAGAACCCCTAAAATTCGAGAGCCTCAACCCCGAACCCCAAATCCGGCTTGTTCCCAAAGCCCCAAAACCCCCAAAGGATGGCTGGGGACATGCCGCCGGACACGTCGGAGGCCGGACCAGGAGTTTAGGGTTGAGGCTTGAGGGACAAGCAGAATCAGCTTGCCATGAGCAGCCTGGAGGGCTTAGCGAAGTAACAGCTGAACAGTGACCTTGACTTTCAGGATTTGGGGAAATGATGGGTTTGAGGCACGATGTCTTTCTTTTCTTCTGCAGAGTTCGACCTGTCTGAGGTTGGAAGGGTCGGAGGGCAGCGGTTCATCATGTGTGTGTGTGTAAAAGAGTATGCATGTATGCATGTATGCATGCATGTATGTATGTATGTATGCATGCAACACATACGCAACTACACATGTGTAAACAATGTATGTGTTTGTACAGGTAGCGCTATACATATTCGTCTATGCATATGTCTATTTGTGTGTTTGTACAGTTTAATACATATCTATATACACACACATACATACACATACATATATACGCACCCATGCACGTACGCACGTACGTCTTGATGCATCCATCTGTCAGGGTCACAAGCCGGCGTCCCTGAACCTCACGCACGTGCTGATGGGCCGGGGGGCGCGGGTGGCTTCCTCGCAAGGCCGGGGTTGACGCTCCAAAGGGGACAGGACAAAGCGTCGTGGATGCCTTGGCAGCAGGCATCAATGCCCACCACCGGGCTCCAATGCCTGGAGCACCAACGTCGGCTCTGCCAGGGGCACAGTGGCAAGAGGGATAAGGGAGCTTCGAATGGCTGTACCGGGCTTTTGTACGGCCGTCGTAGGGCTCGTGCTCAGAAAGTATGCTGCAGAACTGCACATGCTCGGTGTGGTTGCCGTGCGCATGCGTGCCAAGGAGTTCGCTCCCAACCAACTGGAAGATGCCGGATTGGATCAAGCCGGATGCACACATTTGCGGCTTGCATGAGGAACTGGTTGAGTGAGATCGCCAAGTGTTCCGGTCAAGCTGCTGCATGCTGGCAGAAGGTGAAGGACGCATGATCCGAGAATTGCTCTCGCAATATGCGGCCGGCACAGACGCATGCGATGCTTGTTCAATTGGTCGCCTCCTGCAGGTTATAACTCGCGAAGCACTGGCGAGAGGGTAGAAGTTGTCGTCGAAATGGTCAACACCGCCAAGCAGGAGGCTCGCCGCAGCAAGGAAATTTGCCATGTCGCCGGGTGCGTGGCTCTCTGTACAGGTTGAGGTCACGGGCGTCAGCGTGCCGGGGTTCCTGAGAGTGATCCCTTTCAGCGTCATCGCGTCTTGCCGGCACGTGTGGCCTATATTGCGCTGCAATTATTGCTGTGACTCTGGGACACTCGTAACTTCGTGTTGCCGGCACCAGTTTCTGCACGTTTGCTGACGATGCCTTGCAGTCTTGGGACAGTTGTGTGCAATCCGAGGCAAGCGCGATGAATCCACTCTACCCGCCGGAGGTGTGCGACGTGTGGTGCTTTCTTGTCAAACCTAGTTATACGCAAATAATTACAGCGGATCCCCGGTACACTGTTTTTGCAGGCTCTGCCGAAGGGTGAGGGGGACGTCGAGCAGGCGTGAGGGGCACACCATGATCTTCGTACTGTTATCACTATCACTTTTGCTATTATTGTTATTCTTACTATTACTATTGAGATTATTGTTATGATTACTATTACTATTGTTATTATTACATATTATTACTATTGTTATTTCTATTGCTAGTATTACATATCATTACCATTATTCCTCTGTCCTGGCACAGGTGGAGGGCCCTCAGGCCGAGGGCCCGGAGGGCCCAGAGGGCCCGGGAGCTGTCGACCTGACCCGCGAGCGCAGCCGAGACTTGGACTGCTCCGGGTCTCCTGGAGACGTAGGGTTTAGGGTAGTAGGGTTTAGGGGAGGAGAGATTGGGGTTTAGGATAGTAGAGTTTAGGGTTTCGGGTGCTAGAGTTTAGGGTTTAGGATGGTAGATTTTAGGGTTTAGGGTCTAGGGTAGTAGACTCTATAAACTCTGGATATTGAGATCCACCGATGGGAGAGTAAGGAAGTCGATCGGGAAAGAGGTGATGATCGGCACCCTGGCAGCCAAGTCGTCTGCTCCAGTTCTCTGGTGAACCTATCCAGGCAGCGATCTCCGTACACGTCCATGTGTGCATTTTTTTTTTTTTTTTTTTTTTTTGTGTGTGTGTGTGTTTGTGTAGGTACTGCATTTGTGTATGTACGGACATATGCATCTATGTGTGCGTGTGTATGTATGTGTGTGTATGCTCACTGCCCAGCTTCCCATGAGATGGCCAGCTAGCTAGCTAGCTGGCTAGCCACCTGGCTATACATCCATTCATCCATCCATCTTCTGTCTATGTTTGTATGCATGCAGGTAGCTTCCGTTTCTTTAACTGCCGTCCGAGGCCAGACTCGCCCAGACTGAGCAGTGTTTGTGCAGTTCCCTGCGGCCACGTGCTGTGAATGCTCGGTTGCTGTTGTACAAAGTGAGACATTGCGATGCCGTTATACGGGTGACACAGTGCTAGATGTGCTTACATAGGTACAAGATAATGTAGTCGCAATTTGGACAATGCTTCCGTGATGTCAAGCACGGAGCGGAGTATCCCTCACTGGATGACCCGCACAGACCTACCTAACCTCCAGGCTCGGAGCATCTCACTCCAGTTTAGATGCAGGGTTTGCCATTCGCGAGTCTCCATGCAGCGATGCCAGCACACCTGCATATCAGGAAGTAAACAGGAGAAAGAGATTGCAAGAAACGTGGTCTTCTTCCCCAAAGCCCAGCACTGTATTCTGAAGCTGGACTGGCAGGGCTGACTGGACTGCAGCATGCGGTTGATTGCAGGTAGAGAGTGGAAAAAATGTGCCTGAAACAATGTGCCCGGATGCAATGCTCCGCTACAGCTCTGAAGCTTGAAGCACGAGCTTTCCCAACCAATCATTGAGCATACGCCAGTGGATGCTTAATCCCCTCTCGGAGCCATGAAGGAGACTGTAACATTGTAGCTACCTCGACATGTTTGTGTTATCTCGGAAAATTCGCCAGCTGTGGAGCCCGTGAAAGCGGTGGACTTCGCCAACGAGCCCGTGGCTGTCGTAGAGGCCGCAAGATAGTGAGCAGGGTTCTCTTGTTGCTGTGGTGTGCGTTGCTACTTTTCGGGGAGTCCGCTTGCCTCTTCTCAGACCTGTCGTCTAGCCCCTTCCTGGCCTCCTGGTCATTCGACTGTACGTACCGAGTAGCGCAGAGTGGTACAGACTTTCGCAGATGAGTCTGACTGCGGAGAGCAAAGAACATGAGTTACTTCTAGTGCACTGCCACCCTGGAGCTCTCGAGAGTGAAGTTTCGGAAGTCTGCCATCGCACTTTGTGGCTCAGTTCCACGTTGTTTTGCTTTGCATATCGTGCGCATCAGAACCAGCCAGGGCGAGCAGTCTGCATAAAGTTGTCCTCAGCACCAAGAAGGGTTTCATCCATAGAGGACACCATGAAGGCTGTGTGGAGCTCACTGGCAGCGGTGGTGGTTGCATTTACTGTGCACATGTCAGTGGAGCGATGCCACGACGGCCAAGCGACACACCACTGGCGTCACCATTTCGACATGGCTGTTCAGAATGGTGAGCCGCCACTGTACAATTCTGTAACGCATGGGTACGTGTACGGGCGTTGGCGGAAGCCCATACAGGCTGAGGTCACTTTCGCCGGGCTAGGCCGCATGGAGAAGCTGTGGAATCTAAAGCAGTTCGATTATACATCCATCAGCACAGACCAGTATTTCATTGGTTTTGCTTTGGTCAATCTTCAGTATGTCAGTGAAGTCTTTCTTTACATTGTCGATAAGAACGAGGATCCAAGCAACAAAATTGATTTTGATTCCCTCGTACCTGGTGGTGCCGGCGTCCGCTTGAGTGCATCGTCACACACAGGCTGTTCTGAAGGCTATAACCCTTTCCCAGCACTGCTCACTCCTTACCTTATCAGAAAGTGTTGGGATGAGCCTTCCAGGAGTTGGAACATCAGCGTTGACCTCACTGCGCGCCGCGACAAGACACGGGCCAGCCACCACATCCAAGTTCAAGCCACAATGAAAGAGCGCGAGGCCATGGCTTTTGTATACCCAATTGAGGACAGGCGGCCGGCATATGTACACAAGGGGGCAGGTTTGCCTGTCAGTGGGTTCGTAAGCATCGACGGAAAGCATCACAGTTTCGCTGACGGTCTTGGCTCCTTAGATTGGACGTACTCGCTGGCAAAGCACGAGACCAGGTGGAAATGGGTCTCACTTTCAGTGCGGGCTCAAGTTGATGGCAAAGACGTGGACCTAGGAATCAATCTGAGCGAGTGGGTGTACGACGTGCCTGAACATGGCTCTGTGGAAAACGCAGTTTGGATTGATGGCACGGTGCACCCTGTCGATGGCATCGTGGACATCGCGACCCCTGATGGAGATCTGCTCGTGGATGCATGGCTCGTGAAGTCCCGGAAAGAAGCCAAGGTCCAACTCGACCTGACCTGTAAACCGCTTGGCTTCCGCGCGGTCGAAGTGAATGCGGGTGTTCTGGTCAACAATTTCGTGCAGCCCTACGGGATCTTCGAGGGCACTGTTGTGCTGCAGGATGGCCGAAGAGTGGTAGTCAAGGATGCCATGGGTGTGGTAGAAAGGCATCACGCCAGATGGTGAGGAAATCGGGTCGCTTTGCTTGCCACATCTCACCTGTAGGCAGCAAGTGACAAGCCTGATCAAACGACGCGCTGGCAATGGTCTTTCAGCTGCTAATCTCGACATCGAAGCTCACTATTTGAATGTAGCGATCACTGCCACCGTTTCTACGACTGTCGGTATCGACATCGCTATCATACACCCTCGGTGTCCCCACTGTCATCACAAGAACTGCCACTTTGCCACGGAGCTGGGCCACACGTGTCCCCCAGAAGCTTCCACACGTTCGGCCTAGCATTGAGTTTGTTGCTGTTGAGCGCCCTCAAGGCTCTACCGATATGTGCGGGTCAGGGTTTAGTTGGGGCTCGGGGGCCTCAGGGTGTCGGGGCGTGTTGGGGCGGGGTAGGGAGGATTTGGAGCTTGGCCTGCAGAGTTCAGGCAGTTTATGACACCTCAACTCAGGCCTGTCGCATGTAGGCATTCAGACATGTAGGCTTGCTGTTCCACCGCGCCGGAGATGTTGAGAAGTAAGGCTTCCCCAACAGCCACAACTCGCGCGCAACCGACCGTGGACAGGTGGAGAAGGAGTGGGAAGGCGGCTTGGGCGACTCCTCCGACGACGAGGACGTGCACTGGTAGATATCTGCTTTTCGAGGTCTTATTCCAGAGGCCTCCAATGACCCGAATCTGTCCTGAAGGGTCCAAGTCATGAAGTCTGAGTTGTGGAGGACGTCAGTGCGACGATCGCTCGACGCGGGGAGGAGCCGCCGCTGACAGTGGTTCTGTACACACGGCAGTTCGTTGAAGCACGGACACCCACGACAAGGTGAACCCTAAATCCTGAATTTCGGAGATTGGGCCTGACTCTGCTTCTGTTCAGGTTGGGAACAACAAGAGGCCCAAAATAGCCCAACCCGTAGTGGGGTCTGCACACCTCACACAAGGAGCGACGGCGGCAGCTGAAAGAGCGCGAGGATGCGGTGGCCCGCTGGCCCAGTTCTGTTTGCAAAGCAATTCCATTCTATCTGTCTGCCTGCCTGCATGTCTGTTGCCTGCATGCATGTCGCCTCTGGTCTCACAGGTCTATCAGATCTATCAGGGCTGTTCTTATCGCCCCCCCAACCTTTAGCAAACCTTCGGGCCCGAAGCCCCAAACCTTCAGTCTCAGCCCTCAGTCTTAAACCTTCAGCCCTAAAGCCCTCAGCCCCAAATCCTAAGTCCCAAACCCGAAACCCTAAACCTTAAACTCTGAAACCCGACGCCAGCCTATACTCCTAAACCTTGAATGCTTGATCCGGACCCTCCCTACATCTCCCGACATTATAGAACCCTACTGCATCCCTTATAGACCCCTTTAAGGATCCCTTTAAAGGAACCCTGAAACTCCACTGCGAACCGAGGCAGCGGCGAGCAGCACCACCTTCTCTGCCAAGGCCACCCCCGAGCCCTCGCCACAGCCGCGACCCAGCCAGGCGAGGACCTCAGGGGTAGAAGAGGGCTATGGAGTTTCGACTTAAATTCTCCCGGGAGCTTTAGGATGTTGGGTTCATGTAACTCTTCGGGGCTTGGTGGCTGGGGTTTACGATCTGAGAAGCTGCTTATGCGGCACTTATGCGGCGTTTGCGCGCAAGACAATTGCATTGCGTTCATGGCTCTCCCGCAAGATCCGGAGGCTGTGCGGAATAGAACAGCATGAGGGAATTCATTCGAGAGCATGTAGCATGTGATATGGCCTGTGCTCAGTCCGATGAGGTCACTCCGAGACGATCCCGTGCCGGTACGGACGCCTCCACAAACACAGACTCCAGCAGGATGGCTTAGTTTGTGATCTGACCAGAGACGAGTGGCCCAGAGCATCACTTTACATGTCCGGCTACGATCAGCAGTGCTTTTGTGAGGGTTCTTTGCCAGATCTCTTGATACACTTCGCGATACCCGTTGATGTTACGATGTCGTTACATTCTTGTTTCTACTGCGGTAGCTAAAATCATGACAATTTGGATGCTTGGTCTTCTTGTCACTTGTTTTGGGTCTTCACTTGGATTGTTATAGTTATAGTCATTGTCATCTTTCCATTAGTCACTAATCATTAGTCCAACTCCTAAACCCTAACCTCCAAATTCTCTTGCAGAGACTGCGAGGGTGCATTTCATGCCTTTCTCTCCCAGAAACAGCTCAAGGCCGCAGCTCGCGAGGTCCGCCTCCGCGATCCAGGTGCCCTTAAAGGGGTATAGGGTTCCCTTAGGTTCCTTTAAGGGGGTTTAGGGTGCCCATACAGCATTTTGGGTTGAGGCTTTACTCTAGGCTGCAGTGGTTTGGGGCTCGTGGGTTTCGGCTTAGGGTGGAGCGGCTTGGAGCCGATACCCGATAGGTATAGGTTTCAGGAGTGGCTTTAGTAGCCCAGTGCTGCCCTTCCGTATAGAATCGCTCTTGTCTAAATTGGGGAGATGTATGGTTGAGCCGTAGAACAGCCCAGAGCCCGACTCCATGATCACCCACAGGAGCTTCGTCCGAAGAGGCCCGGCTCCGAGCATGAGAGTGGAATGTCGCCGGAACTTCAGGACTCCATGTAGCTCACACTTGTACTGCAAGCCGCGAAACATGATCACCAGAGCTCTGAAACTCAAGGAACAAACCGTCATAGGAATAGGAACTCTCAGGGGGGTAGGAGGGAGGGAGGGGGGTAGGGTACTATACTCTCTTAAATCGGCCATTTTCGGTCATTATTATGGGCATTAAAGCTCTACCCCCACCTCCCGGTACCCCCCTGAGGGTCCCTGTGATAAGCCTTTTCAAACCCGAACCGCCAACCCTGTCACTAAATCCTGAAATCTGCCTACGCTGGTGCTGCATAGTTTCCCTGCAGCATAGCAGTCGGCAGCACTTGACAACACTACCTCCTGAAATCCTAAACCCTGCAATCCGTAGCTTACAGTCCTTAGCTTGCAGTCCTTTTCCCTAGGGTAGAGGCCAGAAAGTTAGAACATTGAAATCTTCATGCCCTAGAGGTAAAGTATAGGGTAGTATAGGGGATCCTAGCACTAATCATCCCGAATCCATGTTCCAACTTTGAATCGGGAATTTCTGAAGTGCTGCACCTTAAGTCGAGATCCTCAAGCTCTGCCCGGGCCTAGAGCCCGAATCCCAACGTGGCGTCCCCTTCCAGATCTCATGGCAAAGTGCTGGCGGGCTGCCTTCGGATGTCCGGAGCTAAGCCTGTCTGGGCTTCAGGGCTCTTCGGGGGTTACGGGGCTTCAAAGTGTCTTTAGAGCTCGTATAGGGTTCTGCAAGCAGACATACATACATGCATACATACATACACACATACATACATGCATACATACATACATGCATGCACACAAGTGCATATACACATGCACGCACACGTACACATACGCACAGATACACACCTAGTCTTATGCAAGTGCTTGTGCATATACGTACACATACTCCCCTTACATATGCATATGCATATACATATACGTATGCACATGTCTATACAAAATATAACTATGTCTGTATCAGTACCTATACGCATGCCTATGACGCGATCTGTATCTATATCTACATCTATATCTATATCTGCACGTATTTTCTCTATATCGGTATCTGTATCTCTATCAATCTATCTACCTATCCATCGTATCTAGTCCAAACTCATCTAACCTACTCTCATCTATCTATCTTTCTGTTTATCTAGATCCACAAGCAGACGCATGTATATATACATATATGTATGTATATATATACATAACACATACACACACACAGAGATGTGTGTGTACATATATATATATATACATATGTAGAAACATACACATACATGCATACATACATACGAAGCAAAGACGCTTGGCGCCTGTGCCTGTCCTCGCGTATGTTTATGCAGTTGTACATCTCGCAGCCTGATCAGGGTATGGCGGCTTTCTCGCCTTTACGCTGGTCCACCTCGGAGATTTCGTACTCCGGGTGAGGGCCCAAGGTGGGTTCAGGATTCAAGCTCCACTCCCTAAACCCTAAACCCCCAATTGTCCTGGGGCTTGTGGGCCGAGGCGGAGTCGGTTTGTTCAGGAGCCCCAACTCGAGGAACCCGTCTAAAGAGGATCCTTGCATTGAATTCGACGTGTCATCTTGAGCCAACAGATCTCAGAATTGCAAAGCGGTTCACGCTTGACTCCGTGTTTAAGCTGGCCAGGCACTTGAGCAGTAGCCCTGCACTACTGAGATGTGGAGCATTGTGGAGTACATCCAATCCGGGCTGGAGATTCCAGCCTACGTCTGGTTGGTGCCCTTACAGGCGTGGAGAGTAGTCTTCTCTTCCTATCTTCGCTGAAGCCTGCACTGTTCTGCTCGATGCTGTGGAATCTCAGCACCGGAGCCGCCGGAACGTCTCCTGTCCAGGTTATCGGTGCTCTACTGTCCATCTACATCACGCCCTTGCCTCGGAAGTAACGAAGATGTTCCGTCTTCGATGAGTCTAGGCTTTGTCTTTGTAGAACTAGAGGTTTCATGATGCAGATGTACTTCTCATCCTACACAACACCTCCGGATGGCCGCAGCCTTATCAGCGAGAGCTATCCCAGGTCATGCAACAACGGACTTTGGGTGCTTCCCAGACTCGTTCCTGCAGGGCGAAGGTTTCTGTGGCCATCCTCTCCTTTCTCTTCCTTGGCTGCTGCCAAGTCATTCAGGCCGGAATTGCCACTTGGGGCTTTGAAAGGAGAGACGAAAGTTTCAATCCTTGCCGCAGGTGAAGCGTGCATGGTCCCGGCAGATGCACGATGCCGAGGCTGTTGCGAAGCAGCGTCTTTCCATTGACACTTCCGTCCGTTTGAAGTCTCTCGTCGATGCTGCGTTTCGCGACGAAGGGCCTCCTCGGTGTTGTACATGAGTAGTTGTCGCAGGTTGTGATCGAGATGTCTGACAACGACCTCGGCGTTGCGCGGAAGGACGGGGGTTGAGGAAGAGACCTCGTACCGAACTCAACCTTGCCCTGTCCTCTGCTGCTCCATGATGGTCTGTTGTTTCTTGCTGCCCGAGCTCTTAGTTAAGCTTGACCTCAGCTCCACGCCGCCTCCATCACCTTAATTTCCGAGTCGTCGGGGCACAATGCCCGAAACGCTAAGCCGCTAGGGTCATCCCGAGGAGTCGACATACGACGACCGGGCGGCCAACGCTTCGAGCCTTCACGACTTTGGCGCTGCCGAGGCTTCGGAGTGTGCAGCAGCAGAGGTACGACTGCCATCCATTGCCACGCTAGGCCTCAGAACCACTGCTGTAGCTCTGGACTGTTACCATTGCTGTTTCTGGAGCTTCTGTTTGGTACTTGCTGACTGCTAAGAACTGCGACTGTTTCTGGTGTCTAACTGTCTTGTTGTAGTGTTAGTTCTGTTGCGGCTATCAGGTAAGCGGAATCCTGGCTTGGAGCCGGGGTATGTGGTATTTTCATCGCAAGGCTTGAGTATAAAGGCTACATGCTAAACCATACTGAGTCCGAAACCTCAAATGCCTCCTTGCGCAGCGCATCACGCCGGTCGCGCTCCTGACTGGGGTTCCCTTCCTCCTCGTTCACGCCATGATCTCTGCGCAGTGCCCCGTGCAACTTTGCGTAGGGGACGAGATCTGGATGGTGCCGGTTGAGCCACCGGAATGCTCTTGGGACATTAGGATGTGAAATATCACTGCTCTTCAGGCAACATTCTGGGATCATCAACTTGTATATGCTTGTCGTGGAATCGAAGTATGTCATGCTTCTACCAGCGGCAACAGCGCCAATGGTCGGAAGCGTCGCACCAGTCAGCATGGTGTATAAACTACACGAACTGACCACCGGGGTGCTCGCCTTGCATGGAGATCCGGATTGGGACTAGCAACTAGCGTTCTCTGAAAGCCCCCCCACCTTCGTGTACACTACCCTGAACCCTAAGACGGGCAGTTCCATTTACTAGGGAATCTATGTAGGTAAACCTCACACCCTGTCCCAAACCCTATACTCCCAATGGACCTACAGTAAGCCGTTGCCGCCAAGGCACCTGTCAAATCTCAAAGCCGACCCAGGAGACCTCGTCGGACCATCGCATATCAACAACACCGGATAGGACCCCTCCCAAAACCCTCCTCGAAAGCAGAGCAAAACTCCACATCCTCAAGCCGACAGCCCTGGAAGCCGGAAAGAGGAAGCCTTGCAGGTACGTGCAGACTCGGCAGGACCATCAGTCCTGGTGGCTGACCACCTGCGTCCTGATCATGACCGTCAGCTTCGGGACTCCTGCAGCCAGAGGGGGCAGATGCAAAGCGGCCAACGTTTCCTGCATGTATACACATATATCTACCAATGTATATATATATATATATATATATAATTATACATACACAAAATGTCATGTAATGACATTACGTTTTGATGTTGTGTTGTACTATGCCACGGCATTGCAGGAGATGTTATGTCATGTTATGTTATGTTATGCAATGGCATTGTACGGTATGGTACGATATGATGTGGTATGGTGTTGTTTGATATGGTATGGTAAGGCATGCTATGGTATGGCATGGTATGGTATTGCATGGGATGGCATGGTATGGTATGGTATGGTCTGACAGGGTATGGTCTTGTCTGATCTGGTATGGCATGGCATGGTATGGTGTGGTGTGGTATAGTCTGCATGTATGCACGTGCCTCATCATTGCAGGATTGTGGACATAGACGTTTCTGTCTCCTCTTACGTGGTGAAGCGCTACCAGATGAATTCCCAGGCATGAGACCGAGTTTTGGATTTCAGGGTTTTTGCCTGGGCAACGGCGAGATTCCCTCCGGATCGACCTCAGACCCGAAGCCTCGACGTTTGCTGTTATCAGCTTTCCGGGTTGATTTGGTTCTTCCATCTCTTCCCCCCCTTTGCTACTTGGGAGTTTCCGAAACCAGGGGACCTTAATCTAGTACCCGAAATAGTAGGATCCTTATTATAAGGACCCCCAAAGTAAGGTACCCCTCATTTTCGGAAACTCCCACTTGGAGCCGGAATCGCTTCCCGCTCGCCCAGAGCCGGATACCTCGGTGGATGCAGCGCCTCTTCAAGCCCCTGCACGTGCTCTATCGTGTGAGCGAGGTGCCGGCAGTGGAGAGTCGCAGAAGGGTTTAGGGTTTAGGGTATTGGGGCTCAGAACGGGGGGGGGCTTGGAGTGGATCTAGCAGCGCTGGCAGGTTTGTCTGCGGCTTGCAGTGCTGAGTGGCCTCGTCACCGTTCAGAACCACCTGCAGCAGGCCACAGCATTGTCACAGCTTTGAGTATCAAGCGATCTGTTCACTTGCGTCGCAGGAGCAACAGGAGCCCTGGGTGCTCATCGCACTCGTGCTTGCCGATTACTGTCCGAGACCCAGACATGTAGGGAAAGCCAGGACATGCATCAATGCCATCGCTGTCGTCCGGAGGGTGCTCGAACTCGAACTTGGCTCGTACTGCTTGCAGATGCTTGAGGTCTCAAGCCTTGTATATACACTGATTGCCCTAGTCCCGTGGCAGCGCACGTGGCCATGGCAGCAGCTAAGAAGCTGCTGGGCGACATCGAAGCGATGCTGAAGAAGGTGGATTTAGGAATCACTGAGTTCGACGGGCTGATGGAGAATCATAGACATGCGAGCCAGCCGAACCAACGTGAGAAGTACGAGGAGAACATGAAGGCCTCCATCAAGAAGCTTCAGCGTGACAGGACCCAGCTCTCGGCCTGGATCTCCGACAAGAGCGTGAAGGAGAAGTCAGCTCTGACGGAGGCCAGGTCGAAGATCGAAGCCCGAATGGAGAAGCACAAAACCTTCGAGCGCGACGTGAAGAAAGGTTTGAACAACGAGGAGAGGATGGACCCGGATCAGGAGAAGCGGGCGGAATGCAGAGCCTGGATTCGAGAGTTCGTGAACCAGCTCTTGCAGGAGGTTGATGAGTTCACCGCTGCCATTGAACAGCTTCAGAAGAAGAAGACGTCCAAGAGTTCCAACGACGAGTCCCAGTCGGCTTTCAACAAGAAAATGCAGGAGTCGCATCGATGGCATGTCAATAAGCTTGAGCAGCTCCTAAGAAAGGTGGAGAACCAAGACATAGACCTCGAAAGCTTAGACGACTTGAAGGACAGCTTGGAATGCTACTTGGATCCCGAGCAGAACGTGCGGACCCCCGAGGCATTTGCAAACTTTGACGACACGTACTCGGACTACAACCTTGAGGAGGTTCAGGACTACCTTGCTCAACGTGTTCCAAGCCATAACGAAGAGAGGGAGGAGAAGGAAGAGCCGAAAAAGGAGGAGATCAAGCAGCCGAAGCCCGAGCCTGCGAAGCACATGAGCCATATGCCCAAGCCCGCCCCGACGGTTTCGGTACATCCAGTGCACAAGGCCGTGGTCGAGGAGAAGCCCGAAGATGCGAGTTCAAGCGCAAGTGCTCCGGCGAAGACGGCCGCTCCCAAGCAGATCGCAACAAAGGCGGCGACTGCAGCAGCAGCTGTGATGCAGTCGGCCTCGCCACCACCTCCTGTGCCCTCGACTCCTCTCCCGAACCACCCGCCTCCACCGGCCCAGCTTCCACCAGCCCAAGCTCCGGCAGGCCCCACCCCCCAGCCCACCCAACCACCTCCCAAGCAGCCACCCCAAATGGTACAGGGCCAGCCCCAGCCGCAGCCTGAGCCAGTCGTCGCAAACGCCGTGCTTCAGCAGCCGCCCACCAGGCCCTTCTCGCCGCCCGCTTTCCCCCCGCCTACGACTGCTGTGCCCGCGACTTCTGTGTCCGCGACTGCTGTGCCCGTTTCGACTGCTGTGCCGGCCATGCCCAACCACAACGCCAGCCCGCATGAGCCGCCCAGCGTTCCACCGCCACCGCCCACACAGCCGGCCACGCAAGACTTGCGCAACTTGGTTGGCCCAGGCCAGCCGGGACCCAAAAAACCACCACAGATCCAAGCCCGAGCCCCACCCAGCGAAGCGCCTCCAGCTCAGCCGCAGGATGTGCCTGCTGCAGCTGTTCCCGCCTTGGCGGCGATGCCTGCCGTACCCGCCGTACCCGTTCCAGCCGTGCCAGCCGTTCCGGCCGTTCCACCTGTGCCCGCTCCTGCACCAGCTGCGGCGCCTGATGCGAACGCCGGAGGCCCGGCCGCGCCAGCGGCCTACGATGTGCCACCTCTCACCAAAGCACAGGAGAAGGCTCATGCGCTCTTGGAGTCGTCTGCACGGCACATGCCCCAAGCCGGGGACGTTCGAAGGAACAGGAAGTACCAGCCGCAGCAGCCTCACATGCAACATGATAGCCAGGGCAAGCCATATTACCCCACGGACTCGATCCGAAGCTTCGAGGAGCCTGCGCTCTTCGAACGCTTTGATCAGGACACTTTGTTCTGGTCCTTCTACCACCAGCAAGGGACCTATCATCAGTACCTAGCTGCAAAGGAGCTCAAGAAGCTCTCCTGGCGCTATCACACCAAGTACCTCACGTGGTTTCAAAGGCATGAGGAGCCGAGGCTGACAGCACCAGACTTCGAGCGTGGAACCTACGTGTTCTTCGACTTCGATGGCCAGTGGGCTCAGCGGATCAAGGCGGACTTCACATTTGAGTACGCCTGGCTGGAGTCCGGAGAGATCTGAGTGATCGCAGAAGAGGACCAGCTTCAGTTTCACTCAGAGTCCAGGCGACGGCATCAGAAGCATGTGGACAGAAAAGAACCGAGGCTAGCAACCCCCCAGTCCCGATCCGCAGATCTTTCTTCGGCTTCTTACTTATATCTATATATGCATATATATATATATATATATGTGATTATGTATATATATATATATATATATGTGTATATATGTATATATGTACACACATGTTTTTTGTATACATACGCGGCAAATCTTCCATCTCTCAGGTCTGGGAGTCTATCTCCTCTTTCAGCACTCGCCACAGAGGGTGGGACGCCTCAGCTGTCGGAGCTTTCCACGTGAATTCCGTGGGCTCTTGCCGAAGGAAGGGGCCGTGGTGCACATCTTCACGGGCATTGGCCTGCTCGGAGCTCGAAAGAAAATCTGAATCCATGAGCCTCCCTTTTGTTTGCTACTGGACTCAGGTCTAGCCAGACTCCCTAAACCCTAAACCTAAACTCTGAACCTTAGGCTGGTGGCGGACCTGGGCCACTTCATTGACATGCCCAACTTCTCCTTAGCAGACTCTTGGCCTGCCAGCACGAGCATGACATGAGCTGCAGCGTGTTGAACTTTGCTCGGTGATGCAAGCGGTTCAGGCGACAGGGGTAAAGCAACCCCTAGGTGGGACTCAACCACCCTTTCACCGAGTTCGTCACGTCATTTCTCTGATCATCCTTGGCATCCTTGGTTTTCTCTTTGACCCAGGAACGTTGCCTTTCCTCACATTTCATCTCACGGAAATTTGACAGCATTTTCTTGCCTGCCAGCTCTCACAGACCAGTCTTGAGCTGGCCTTGTCTGATCTACCCTGGCGTGGCTTCACTTCAGTGGAGCTTACAATCGCAGCAAACGCAGGAGGAGTGCAAGAGTGGTCGGGAAGTAAGAGTAGGAAAAGTACCGGTTGTCGCGAGAGTAGTCAGAGCCACAAGCCTGTCATTGCGAGAATTCTTTTTCATGTGAGGTTACCAAAGTACGGAGTTTGGCTTAGTTTTGGCTGGCTTGGCTTGGCTTGGCTTCGATTCAACGGTGGGGGCAAAACGAGGACTCTGCCCTTGACGAAAAGACGCTCTTGCCAAACGCATGTAGCACGTTCATGGGAGAGGAGGATAGCCTTGGGTCAGAGGCGTTCGATCGCGCGGTAGGGAGCACTACTGCAGGATTCGCGGCAGCGAATTTTTCCGTTGTGGAGAGCTGCAAATCCCTAGCAAGCCGCTGTCCTTGCAAGTAGTAGCAACTACACTCTCTGATGGTCCTCAGGCTCGGAGAATCAGCCGGAGGCTGGACTTCAGAGGGCATTTGGAGTACACAGGTTTTGAAGATGGTTTGCATCGCTCCGAGCGGAGCATGCGGGCTGCGTGCAGCATGGTTTTTGCAGCGAGAGATACTATCAGTGTCAACGCAGGTTGGTCCTGCTTCGCCTTACGCAGCTAATTGCTCTTCTTGGTGTAACTTGGCAGATGCTGATGCCGCGTGTAGCCGGGACGCGCGACTTGCATTGGAGTCTTGATGATGCGCCATGTGTCGTCGGCGTGCTCAGGTATATCACTGGGTCCGGATCTCTGCAAGAACAGTTCAGGATGCCGTAGTCATTCGAAGCACGCCTCAGTGTCACACAGCTTGGTCATTGGTAGCGTGTCCATGCAGCACAAGTGGAGAAAGTCCGCCAGTTGACGCGAGTCGTTGCTTGACGACAAGAGCTTCAGGTTTTCTGGAAAGAGCAGGATGGAACCTTCTACGGAAGCTTCTACGGTGGCCTGGTCCATGCCAAGTGGCTTCTTCGCGGCAAAAAGCTGGGCTTTATCACGACTGGCTGCTGTGCTGAGATGGCTGAGGACCTACATTTTTGGACTCGTTCACTATTCCGTCCGGTGCGGAGCCAAAAGGAAGCCACTTGTGTTCATCCTGCAGCTCTTGGGATTTCTCAGGATCTCCCGACCCATCTCCAAGTTGGGTCAAGACCTCCACACTGCTGCCTTGGATGGTGATCTTCCACTAACAAGGCCCGGGCACACTGGGCCAGGAGAGGCAGGTGGAGGGTGCAGAATTCGCCGGTGTTGGAGGGCGGGGGGCCCTTTATGGGCCATCCGAGCGTCATCTCCCTTACAGTACAGTTTCACAGTTTGGAAACGGTCCCGATGAAGGATCTTACATGCCCTGAGAACTGTGAATGGGACACTGGGGCTGTGAGGAAGCTGCTGAAGCCGGACCAGAACGGGCAGGCGCACCTTTGGTACGTCTAGCTGCCAGGGCAACAGCTCGACAGCCCTTCGCCCTCCGTTCTGTTGCAGGTTCTAGATGTCAATGCGACGGCGAAGGATGGGCGCGGGATGACGTGCCTCGGACGCATCTTCGAAGCTGAATGTAGCATGAAAAACAGCTAGCACCGTAAAGTCGGGGCATCATTGCAATTGTGGTGGTTCCTTCGAGTGCTTCTTGTGTCCCAGTGGCACAGCAGAGAGCAGCTCGGGCAGTCAGTGTAGTGACTGCCGTGACAAGTACTAGCCATCTCCCGCTTTCCACGGCAAGGCCTCTCATGTTGGCGGCTGCCGCGGGGCATGTGGAGGTGGATGCTGTGCGCTGCTGACAGACGCAGTTTCGTCATTGCACTCTCTTAGGTCCAGGTCATCATCCGTGCCATCCTGATGATGATGATGATGATGATGATGCAGACTCACCACCATCTTCTGCAACAGTCCATGTCACCACTGATCCTGCAGCAAGAGCTGCAGCTCCTGCGACCACTACCAGTACTAGGAAGTTTAGTACAAGCTGCTGCCGCTGCTAGTACTGCCACTGCTGCTACTACTACTACTACTACTACTACTACTACTACTACTACCACGACGACGACTACTACTACTCTACTACGACGACGACGACGACTACTACTACAACTACTACTACCACCGCTACCACTACCACGACCACTACCACTACCACAACCACTACCACTACCGCTACCACCACGACTACCACTACCACCACCACTACCACTGCCTCTGCCACTACCACTACCACTACCACTACCACCACCACCACGACTACCACTACCACTACCACTACCACTACCACTACCACTACCACTACCACTACCACTACCACTACCACGACCACGACCACTACCACGACCACGACCACGACCACGACCACGACCACGACCACGACCACGACCACGACCACGACCACGACCACTACCACTACCACTACCACTACCCCTACCGCTACCACTACCACTACCACTACCACTACCACGACCACGACCACTACCACTACCACTACCACTACCACTACCACTACCACTACCACTACCACTACCACCACCACGACGACTACTACTAGTACTACTCCTGCAACTACCAGAAATACTGCTGATAACACTGCTGCTACTACCGGGGCCCGGGAGGTCATCGAAGAGCTGGTCCACAACGGCGCCCGAGTTGGACTCCACACGGCCTTCTCTGAGGAGACGTTTGGGGCCCGGCCATGAGGAGGCTCTTAGGACAGGGCTTAGGGGGTTTAGGCTCACCTTGCTTTCTTGGAATCCAGCATTCGCGCGAGACCATCACAGTGCGTCGGTTTAGGGTTTGGGTTTAGGGTGTAAAGTGTTCCGAACTAAAGGCTAATGTATGAGTCGGTGTCAGCTTGCAGGAACAAGCCATGAAGACCTTGCGAGGACCAGGAAACGTGCACAACCTAGTCTGGAAACAAGAGGTCCCTCAGCAGCTTTGCGAAACCCTCTCAGATGCGATTCCCAATCGCGTAAGTGTCGGTTGAGGGCCTCCCAACTTCAAAACAGAGCGCGGCAGCAACGATTGTTTGGAACTTTACGGGATGACCTTGCTGCAGTCCTCTTTCTGAAAACGGATCTTGGTGCTTTCGTTAGATAAGCATGTCCTCTGCTGCACTTCTCAGGGCGCTGCATTACGCCGTGCGGCATCAGAAGGCAGGCTTTCGCGTGGGTGACCTGTTCCTCGGGCCTTGCCATTTTCCGTGGTACTGTTCTGCCACAAGCAGCCAAGGAGATCCTTGCTGTTCCAGGTGTTGTTATTGTTGCCGTTTCTGTTGTTGAGGCGTTGTTGGTGGGGGTGGAGGTGTTGGACGCGGGCTGGTTGTTGAGGCCTGTGTGGTGGTCTTTGCCGCAGGTGGAAGCATGCAAGGTGCTGCTGAAGCAGGGTCGGGACCTAAGTGTCCTACTGTAGGTGCTACAGGCTGTCTCACAGAGCCAAGGGATAACGGAGCCGGTAAGTGACAAGAACTCATGGATCTGGTCAAGAGTTAGTGTCGAAGAACAAGAGTAATGCCGATGACCAGAGTCAGCTTTGGCCATGACGTAGCAACAATAGCAGCTTGGATGTAACTCACTATTATCGGTGATGGTGCTGGCAGTCTTGGAGAACTGTTACTGCGGAAGCTGCTACTTCTGCTTCCGTTGTCCGAACTAGAAATATTGCTGCTCTGCTGCGGCTGCTACTGCTACTGCTGCTGCTACTACTGCTACTACTACTACCACCACCACTGCCAAAACTACTCCTGATGATGTTGCTGATGATGATAATGTTATCATTGATGAACATGTCGTACAAAATCATGCGGAAATCGCCACGGCGATGATGGTGACTCGCAGCCAGGTGCAAAGAGCACTGCTCGTGATGCTGCCGGGAATTCTCCTAAGGACTTGGCCAGGCACGGATTCGTCTTATTGCTTTTTTTCTATGTATCATCGTCGCTGCCAACAGGTCCTATTTCTATTTGTGGCGGGTTTTAGCATCCATGATTGAAACTAAATTCTCACATCCCAAGCCTGAGATGCTGCATCATAACCCTTCCGCCTAAGAAACGGGCGCCTTCCTCCCGAACCGGAAGACTCCGGAAGTGATATGAAAGAAAGAAGGCCCAAGAGCCACGCTCGTAAGCCGTAGTGTTTCGGTTTGCAGGCTGCCACTCAAGATGGATAGATGGATGGACGGATAAATAGATAGGTAGGTATACGGGTAGATAGATAGAGCGGAAGATAGATGGGCAGGTAGATATGTATATAGAGAGGTGGATGTATGTATGTACATGTATAAAGATAAACTAAAAATAGAATGGGTGTGTGTGTATATATATATATATCTTTTGTATGTCGTTTATACGGACATCTTTACAAGTACCGATCTTTCTGCAAGGTGAAGGCTATGGAGGAGACTGCAACTAAGCTGAATACGGCTGCTGACCTGCGACTGCGAGGAGCAGCAAATTACACCAGCTCTTTGTTGAGAGCGAGATGCGTGTGGCTCCCAGATGATGCCTTCGGAGCGGCGATGGGGCTTTGTAGGGATTCAGGGGTTCCAGTTTTTTTGAGTGTATGTGTCGGAATGTCCGTTGGCATCTTTCCGGCCATCTATGGATCGCTTCTCTCAACCCAAGATCGTCGTCCCAAGCTCTGGCTTGCAGCCAAGGCGAGGAAACGCATGAGGAGACCTTCAATAATAGCGCCCGGAACTGAGGCATCGGGACCGCCGCTCCGCGACTCTAGGTTCCGATGTGTCCCAGCCCCACGCGCATTGGTGGAACACACTCCGTCGTTGCAGATCTCGGATGTAGCTAGTCTGTGATAAAGCTTGGCTCCGAAGTTGGCTCCCCCTGCTCGGCATTGAACTAGAACCCAAGCCCTCCACTCTGAACTCAACACCCCGCATTTTCAACCTGCTCCTGTCTCACACAGCCTTTTTGGTGCGCCCCTCCTCCACTGATTCAAGAGCAACTCCAGCAGTACTGAGACCTCACGACGGATGACGTCGGGCCGACAGAGTTGGATCTTCTGCTCTGCGATTCTGTGCTGCAGTCGCATGCCCCACTACTGTAGAGGTGCCTAAACAATTACCTATACCATTTTTGGGGCTCCTTGTTATAGTAATGGTATAATATACCCCCAAACCCTATTCCAATTGGGGTTCCTTATTACAATATAGTATAATTCTCCCCCAAACCTTATTCAAATTACTGTATTTAAGGCCCCTATATTGTAGTACCATTATAGTATCCCTTATAGTAACCCTTTTAAAGAACCCCTTTAAAGGACTCTTATTCAAATCATTAAGGCCCCTATATAACCTTCGCCTCTTAAGCCCCCTGCCTTGAGAATGCCTTAGGTACGGCCCCCTTACAGTAAGAGTCTATACTAGGGCTACTATTAAGGTCCTAATATATCTATATTATGAATATTATTCAACTATGACTGAGTGGGGGCCGTACCTAAAGAATGCCAGGTATCGGTCGGTGAAGGCCAAGCCCGTGGCCGGCTTGCAGCTGAGGCACGGAGCACGGAGCACGGAGCACGGAGACAGCTGAAAGATTCTCTAGTGCAGCAGCGGGCCTCGTTGTATACACAAGCGCATAACACACGTGTATATATATATATATGTATGTGTGTGTATGTACATACATACATATATATATATATATGCACATATGTTGCTTGATACATGCGGAAACCAACTAAGAGTACGTATGCAGGCATTGAACAGAACTCTGGGATTGATGGGCTTTGGCGCATGATGTGCAGATTTCGGTCTCTGCCCGAAACCGCTTGCCACTCAACTGAATGGCCCCGACTTCGACTGCCTGCCTATGGAAATGCATGTAAGGATATATCTAGAAATAGAGAAACATAGGCATATGTGCAAATACTTATGCAAGCAATAGTTTGAGAACCCTGAAACCCACGAAGAACCCAAAGCCGCAATATGCATTTTGCAGAATAATGGGCTCCCTGCTTACTTGGCCATGAGAAGCAGGTGTGCAGTGATAGTTTCGCAGTTTTTGTCATGACTTTCACTACTGACATCGTTGCTTTGATATTGTGCGCCTTCTCCTGAGAACGCACCAACGCGTCGCTTACTTGCAGGAGCCTCTTTCCTAACCTCGAGAAGGACGAAGCGCCCTCCCCTCGAGTGCTGCAGCCCGGGTGCCTGGAAGCGTGGTCTACGTTGTACCTACAAACCCACGACCGGATCCGAAAATGCCTGCATAACGCACACAATAAGGGCGGTAAGACCGCCATTGGAGGTAGCTTGTTGGTTTCTGGCTGTTTCAGGGCGTTTGAGGGTTTAGCTTTGGGTCCAGGGTTGCAGGGGTCATTACATAGCGGGGTGCAAAAGCTTGCCAACATGGCGCCAACATCCTGCACAAACCCGACAGGCAGCCCACCCAAAGCTAGTCCATGCTAGATGTCCCTTCGCCCCCAACCCTCGGAACTCAACAAAAAGACACTTAAAAACCATACAAAGGGCTCCGAACTTGTCCTTGCTTGCTTTCGGGAGCTTGGCCTTCCGAAAGTCAAGCTTTGGGGTCCAGGGCCCTTGGGGTTTTGGATTTCGAAACCCGACACCCGAAAGTTGTTTCGGGTCAGGGTTCTGAACCCCGGGTTTGGGTATTTCTGGGGTGAGAGCATGGAGTGTCAAATACCCGTATAGAGGCATGCAAGCCCGACTCCAGTATCATTATGCAAACATCCGATGCTCATGTGACGGGTGCGGGCACGTTTGGGGAGCGAAGACCTATTGCTGTTGGTTTGTACAGCTGTGATGGAGATTCTTCTGTCTAAGGCTTTCCCATTTTGGAATCGGGGTTCGGGGTTTGATGAATTTTTGGACTTAGTGTCTTTCCTGTCTCCCCCTTAGGTCCGTGAGCGCCCTGGTCGTGTCAAAGGCGGGCAGGGCGAAAGAGAGAGATATTAATGTGCGTGTGGGGGAGATAGTGTATGTATGTTGGCATATGGCATAGGAAGAAGACACATAGATCTGTATCTGTATCTATATCTGTATCGATCTAGATTTGTGTCTACATGTGTAAGTATGTACATTTATGCCTATAAGCAAGATATGTATATGCGCATGCATAACTACCCACTATTTTACGTGCATGTGTTGCAGAGAACCATGTCGGTGTTTCCTTGGCAGAGTGGTTTGTTCCTCATGTCAGTAGTGCTGTATAGGAAGGCCTTCGTCATTGTTGTTGTCTTCAAGCCTGGTTATCTCATTGTGATTGAGATGATACAGGGAACGAGAGGGACAAGTCGAAACGAAGCCGTGAGCTCCAAGCCTGTTAAGCATACCAGCCCGCAGGTTCGTTGGGGAGGGAGACCCGAAGGACAGAAGAAGTAGTAGGTCTCAAAGCTTGAAAGCAAGAGATCCCCTGAGCTTTGAGGCTTTCGAGTTAAGGGCTTTGGCTTTTTTTGGGGGGATTGATGGTACCCTGCACCTTAAACCCTAAAAACCCCGAAACCCCAAACCTAAGCCCCCGAAATCCTAAGCCCTAAATCCCAAAAAGATCGCTGAAAAGGCAGCGGGTCCCCTGAGCCGACGTGCGCTCTCCCGGAGCGACGACAACAGTGGCTCCGCCGGGGACCAGGTTAAAGCCTTTGGGTCTGTAAGATATAGTTGAAGGATTTGGGTCCTTGAAGGTTTAGCTAGGATTTGGGTTCCTGAAGGTTTAGCAAGGATTGGGGGGCTTTGAGGCTGAGTTGCTACGCGGGGTCTTTGAGGTTTACTTGGGCATGTGGTGTTTTGGGGTTGCTCAGGTTTAGTAGGGGATTTCGGGTTTTGGGTTGTTTTCGTGTTGTTTGGGTCTGGGGTTTAGGGGTGTGGATTTTGTTTTTGCGGTTTAGGCTCTAGAGTTTGAAGCCGTTGTACCTGTACCTATACTATACTCTGACCATACTATACTCTACAGTCATTGTAATGAGCTTTACACTTATTAGAATATGCTATTATAGTGTATTATAATATACGATTATAGTATAGTATCCTATATCGATTGTTGCACCGTCCGCTCCCAGAGTTGCCCCAAAGCCCGGGGCTCTGCGCCATGCTGCGCCTGACCTTTGCGGACCGCGATGCCGCCACGTCCGAGGCTGCGGCTGTGGCCCTGGTGCCCTGGCGCATCGATATGGTATAGTATAGTCTAGTCTAGTATAGTACAATGTACTATCGTCATACATAAGAGACTTGTGTTATTTTGTATAACATACTAAAGTATTGTACAGTAGAATATGCTATAGTATGGTATAGTATAACATGCTATAGTAAGGTATAGTACAGTGTACTATAGTAGAGTAGAGTATAGTATAGTTATAGTCAGTTTAATAGTATGGTCTCGAGGGTAACGCAAAGCACCTCTACTGAGAGTCCGAGATGTTCAAAGTGACAGTAACAGCAGCAACTATGATCGTTACACGGTTTGCACGAATGCCGGGGGGTTTGGATGGGCCTAGAATGCCTGAGAGAATGGATTGGCATGCAGCTTCCAATCGCATGGTACTGCAAGCAGTCGAAGCTCCCTTCCAGGAGCTTTCGTACACGTCCCGGTTTTGCTGATCTGTACAAGCGGGGGTGGTGCCGCAGATTGAAGCCAGTGTCTTCGAGGGCCCAAATCCCCACCTGGAGCTGGGTCTCCGACTCCTCAGCAAGGCCTGGTCATTTCAGGCGAAGAGGACCCCCTCTGATGCTCGTGATGCTGGCTCTGGGTCGTCGTCCCTTAAGCTGTCCTTAAGCTAAACCTCCCACGTTTGAGTCGTCGGATGAAACTGTGAACAACTTTTTGCTCTTGATGATCTTTCGTTATCCCCTGGGCGCATGTTAGGACTTCGGATTAGTAGCTGTAGCAATAGCAGTAACAGTCGTCGTCGTTGTCCTTGGCATCGCACAAGCAAGCAGCAGCCGTTGCAACTGCAAGAGATGCAATTTGGCCGAGGCGCCGCTCGGGCCACGTGTTGCCGTTCGTGTCGTCAGAGGCGAATCTGCAAGGAGAGACTTTTCCCCTTTGGTTTCTAGGCTTCGGAGGTTTCTTATCAGCGTTAACGCTGTGCATCGTCCGTTTTACTAGTGTCGTTTCGTATGAAGTTTTTTGGTCACAGCGCCATACTTCTGTATTGTTCCATGAATACGACGTAGAGATTACGTACAATGTATGTAGAGTAGGTTCCAATTTCATATTTGTGTTAGCCTCGCACAGTTTCGAAGCTATTTGAAGCGGAGCTGCTAGGAATGAAATACCAGCGGTGGCAGGTGGGAGTATTTTGCAGAGATTCCCAACGCCGCTGAATGACTTGAAATCCCAAACCCTCAATCAGCAGTAGAAGTGCCTTAGATCCCAAATTCCGAACGCTGAGCCCCTCAACATCAAAGCTGACACCACGTTTCTTGAGTGACGCATCGCAAAAAGGAATGCCCCAAAGGTCCTGTTCGATTTTTTGACGCCCGAACATGACACACAAGAAAAGCTCTACCGTGGGGTAAACCGAGACGTAGTATCAGCATAATGTACTACAACATGACCTAGATAGTATAGTACGATATCATGTCATATACTATGACATGCTACAGTATAGTGCAATAGAGTATATAGTATAATGTAATATCATATAACATGATATGATGTATTATAAGACCTTACAAGAAATACCAGGGGACCTGACTGCGGTGGCCTTGGGGGATCTCGGCGAAGCCGTGGGAAGTCAAGGCGGGACTCGAGTTCCGAAGAGGGGGTGCAGGATTTTGAGGGCTTTTGTAGAGTTTTCCAGGGTTGTATAGGGTTCGTTTTAGGATGTTGTCAGGGTTGGGGGGGAGGGTTGGGGGGGGGGGGGGCAATATTGGGCTTGATGATATCGGGATTTAGGGTATTGGAGGTTTAGGGTTCAGGAGTTTTGGTGGTTGGACTTACATAGGTAGTGTTTGAAGGGCTGCTTGACACTACTACGGTTTGGGGGAGAAGTTTGCAGTCCCCGGAAGTTTAGGCAAAGCAAAGCTACAATTTCGGCCAGTAGTATGAGGGTTGATTTTGTTGAAAGGAATCTGTTCGTCACTCCCGGAGGAGGGGCAGCCTCTTCCTCTTCCGGCAGCTCTGCCGTGGCCCGCCCTCCCGATGCCGCTGTCAGGCTCTCGGGGACGGGATCTGAAGCTATGAACGGTTGCCCCAACTCAGAATTAAAGCGGGGCGTGGGAGTGCCACCAGAAGAGCAGCACGTTTCGTTCTCGATCCGTGAGCTTTTCGGCGGGGTGAAAGAAGGGCAAAAGCTTTGGTGGCAGGCCTGTCGAGACAGATCTTGATGTGCCTACCTTCATCATGTACGGGGCGAACACCGCCGGCATCGCTTCCGGAGACTTGCTGAAACTGGGCCTTTCATTTTGAAGCGGACTTTTCACTGACGGGAGATCTTCACCGGCCCATTTCAGCAAGGGTTTCAGGAGGATCCCCGCACCCTGGATTTGGATGCGAGATGGTATGTGGTTGCGATTGACCGGAGATAGATATCCTGGTGATGTCAAGCGTCTCCCGAAGGAAATCTGCAGAAAGCCATCAGCGAAGCCTTCCCGGAGCAGTTTGCTGACATTGAGCGGCAGATGAGTCAAGCTCCGCCACATGACGGCTTCGGAAACGGCGAGGTGGAGTCAAGGGTCTGGGGGGGGGAATGAGTTAGATGAGGACAGTAGCAGACGGTCCAACCCAAATCTCTCGCAGGTATTCGTGAGCCACGAAAGCAGCAACATCCGGCGGCATGGCTGATCTGATCTGTTCCCGAAGTGTTTGAGAGGCAGGTCTCCGGTAAACCTATCACCTGAATGTCGGCAGGCTTGAGGCTCAGAGTAAAAGCCACCAAGCATTTTGGGATCGATCTATTTTTTAGAAGGACGACGGAGCTGCTGCAAGAGCCTCGGAAATCCAACCCACCCAAGCCCTAGTCCTGAGCTCCAAGCCCCAAAGCTTGAGCAGCAGAACCTGAACCCAGGCTTCTGGCCGTGTCCCTCTTTCCGCGGTCCAGCGAGGGCCCCGCGGCAGTGCGCCGAGGCGCTGCAGATGCCTTACGTGCAGCCCAGGCGCTGACAGGCAGCTTTCCTGCAAGGATTTTCATATAGGGGCCTTAATAATTACCTATACTATTTTTGGGGCTCCTTATTATAAGTATAGTATAAGGGGCCCCAAAACCCAAATATGGCTCGATGCTTAAACGCATCGATGATATTGTTTCTAAGCTCAGTTAGGAAGTCAGCTCAAAGATAGCTGAGAGTTCAACGGATGCACAAGACATCTCCAGCTTCATTCGCACCAGACTCATGTCGGCATCGCCCCAAAACCCCATTCTAATTGTTACGGCCCCTATATTACGTTGACCTGGTTTCTTGTCGCTGGTGGCTGGGCGGCATGCGAGCTGCTGGTGCGGCAAAGGCCGCGGCCACATGGGAACCGCGATGTCTGGACTTCACGGCTGGGGTAGAAGAAGGTTTTGGGCTATAGAAAGTGGCAACTCTACGAAGCTGTTCTTTGAGCTTCCTAGCCAGCATCGGTGTTTGTTCTCCATGTGACTGAGGCCCAAGCTTTCGCGTCGTCACCCATGCACTGGGCAGCTTCACCGGACATCCCCGCATCTCAGCTGCAATTGCAGCCTCGGGGTCTTGCGTTCCCTGGACGCTGGTAAGACTCCGATTGCGAAGCAATGCCTCGCAGGGAGACATGAACGGGAGATCCCAGTCACTAGTGGTATCTTCCTACCAATACTACTCATTACTACTCCTACCTCCTACTACTACCACTACTGCTACTGCTACTGCTACTGCTACTACTAGTGCTACTACTACTACGACTACTACTACTACTACTACTACTACTACTACTACTACTACTACTACTACTACTGCTACTGACAGGTCCGCAGCAGTTCGCCGAATGCCTCGCGCTCGGGGTCGAAGATTGGCTTTCTGACAGCGAGCCACCGAAAGGCTGAAAGCGAGAAAAAGGTGTCTGTCGGCCCTGGCATCGTGGGTTTTTATGGGATAAGGTGGGGCTTTCATGTGGTCTGGACTGGTTTCTCACAGGTTGTTTTTTTGGGGGGTTTTGTGGCCCGAAAGCGACCTCGAGGAGCTGCACGCCCTAACACAGGACTCGAAGTAATGGTGATGGCAACGCAGAGTGGCAAAGAAGTAGAGAGTGCCATCTCAAGTTTATGCCTTTCCGGCAGCATCGACACAGCGACTTTAGTCCCGGCACCAGCAGCAATATCGGAAGACATCTCAAAAGGTTCTCACGTCAAGAGCTTGTACTCGTACTGGTTACAGGGTTAGAAGCTTATCCGTTCTTGTAAGAAGCAGGAATTTTGCAAGAACCTTTGGATGATGCATCTGCAACATCAAGATAAATTCATAGATGTTGCAGTAGAGTCAATGCAGATGCACACCTGCATCACAGCAGCATCGGCGCAAGACCAGCAGATCGGTTGATACGGTGCTTGCCAGCACAAATTGTTGTTGATCTCCCTTGCAGGCTGAGCACACAGAACGCAGTGCAGAGTATTCGCTTTCTCCTGGTCCTTTACGACAGTTACTGCTCGTGAAACAGCGCTGACTATAGAGGTCGTCGTCATTGTCATCGCCATCGTCCACACCATTACCAATACCACCACCGCCGCCACGCCACTAGCAGAGAGCAGCAGCAGCAGTAGCAGCAGCAGCAGCGGCATCATCATCATCATCATCACCATCATCATCAGCATCCACATCATCCACATCATCGTCGTCGCAGTCGTCGTCGCCGTCGTAACATTCATACAACTGTGAGCGACGATAAATATGGCAGTTGTTCGCAATGTTGCTCCGTCATTCCACAGCTCTTGCACCTGGGGTGTTACTTCCGGCTCAAAGATTTGCAGAAGCATTTGCAGAAGCTTGCTTCCTTGCATCAACCGGACCCATCAGGCCCGTACCGGTGTCTTGCAGCTTGTGCAGTGGCTCTGCGCCTGTGCAGCATGTTGGTTGCGATCATGACTGCGAGGCAGGACTCTGGCTCGACTTTTAACGCAAAGAACAGGAGTCACAATGCTGGCCACTGCTACCTTGCAGCAAGAGACTTTGCCAGTTGCCTGATCTTGTTCAGCCATTCTGCAGCTGTTGACGCTCCAAGGTAAAAAACACTTTTCTGCACTGGTACGATGCTGACCAGTCAGCCCCACGCCGATCTCGCTCGGTGACTGGATAGCAAGGGCTGCAGGGGCTAGTGGCTGTGAAGGTTCTGGTCATATGTAGCAATGTTGCATGATCTTCTCGTGGCTGTCTCCAAGCTTCAGCATAGAAGGCGGCAGCGGTGGCAGGGGCAGCGCAGTAACGGTTATGATGTCAACCGTAAACGCAATAACATGAAGAGAGCAACACAACACCTTCGAGAAGATCTCGGAATGAGAGCAGCGCTTAGCGTGATCTACATCCTCCTCCTTCCTCACCCCGTTTGAAGCACCTAATTTCATGGCGACGATAAGTAAGTATAGCCAGTAATGGCAAGCTGTATTTGTTCTAGCCTTTTTGTACAGGGTGCGGCCTCCAGCAACTCCAGCGCCCCGAGGCCGATGTGCAGAGAACCCCGACGACAGACCTGTCTGACTACCAGGATTGTGTGGCTGTGGCTGCAGCAGGGTTCGGGTGGGGAACAGAAAAGTAAGAGGAGAGAAGACCTGGAGGAAAAGCGCGAGAGTTCAACAGCAGCGCTATGTAGAATGCAGTGCATTCTAGAATATCGCCGAATACTGACAGAATTCCAGGGCCCCGAGCTCCAAACCCTTACCTGGTAGAACACCGGTCGAGGGCCTGGATTCATAGTTAATTAATGAAGATGCACCGAGCTTTTGGGCACGATGCTCTGGGTCAAGTCACCCAGGAAGATATTGGTGGTTGTCAAAATTATGGTCCCTTTTTGGGTACCCTAAATATTAGGTGCTTGACAACTACCATATGATAGGGCTTACGGGCTCTTTTTGGGGTGCTTGTAGAGTTTCGGATTTAGGTCTGAAGGTGTTATCGTCATCAGGAGGGCTCCTCTCTAGTAGGGCTGTGCGCACGACATCTGGTGCTTCCTTTCTTCGGGTGCACTCGGGCTGTTCCGCAGTGAGGGCAGATGGGGCTCCCTTCAAGTATCTGGGTCTAGGGTTTAGGGGTTTAGGGTTTAGGGTTATGTGGCACGGACCTTAAGGTCCAATACAACAAGGGTTATAGTAGCATACATTTCAGTGCACATCTACTTCCTAGGTACCAATCTTCATGAAGGCTGGCTGTAATGAGGATCTCTAGTATCTAAGCACGACTTGAAACCCTTAAAACGTTCACAGAACGGACCCGAATTTAGCAAGAACTCCTAGATGCAGAAGAATGCAGAAGAGTGAGCCCGCGACTCTAAAGCCCAATGCATGCACAGGCCAGATGCAGCAAGCCTTAAACTCCGAGACCGATCAGCTCCTAAACCCAACGTAGACCCAGAATCCCCTAAACCCTAAAGCCAGAATCCTCTATACCTTAAACCCTAACCTAAACCCTAACCTAAACTCTTAAACCTTAAACCTCAAGCCCCAACTCCCCCAGAATGCAAAGCCACCAGAGTGCTCAGGTGCAGAAGCTGAACAAGATCGCGGCGGCGCCGGAGAGCCCCAAAGAGCTGTTGGCGCCGCAAAATGAGCAGCCTCTTAGCTAAGGCTTCGGAATACGACCCCTTACAGGAGCCCTCATAGGAACCCCAAAGAGGAGGGAGCCCTTAAAGGAGCCCTTCCATGAGCGCTTGCAGGTCTTTCCAATGAGGATTCGAATGGGGGCTCTTACAAGGCCATAGAGGTTTATCAAGGTAGAATGAGGGTTTTATGAGGGTTTTTAGAGGGGGTTTTAGGACTGAACGTGTAGGTTTATGTTGGTTCTTGAGGATTTAAGCTGTAGGGCTTTGGATCAAAACAAGCTTGGGGGATCCTAGGCCCTTGGGGTTCGCATTCGGTGTCCTTGGGGTTGTCTTCTGGCAATGTAGATGCTTTTGAAGACCCCGCTCGCTGCCTCCAAACTTGTCTGACAGTTTATAATCCTTAGCCCGTTGTAAGAGTACCACATGACCCGAATTCGTGTGAGCCCCAACTCGAAATGCGTCAGAGGGCCAAGGGACACAGACCAATTGGAACTCACTGTCATATTCGTCGGGAGGACCCACCTCAAACTCCAGGCCCGGAGCCACTAAGCCGCAACACTAGGCCCCAAGCCCTCAGACCCACACAAAGTTTTCGTGTCAAGGGGCGAGCATCTGAGGTCGCCTGCAGCGCCATCTGTGGAGGAGCTGTCCCAAGAGCATGGCCAACACCTGCAGCATCAGAGTCAAAATGGCCGTGCAAGCACTACTAAACCCGACAAGGAAGGAGATAAACGCCCCTACAAGCCTTGAGTTGAGGCCTTAAGCTTGATGGCTTGTTACCTGAAAGCCCAACCAGCTCCCTTAAAGGAGCTCCGTACGTTGCAGCGCAAGATTGCCGAGTGTGCAGGCCGGAGGGTTGCGAGTGATAGAATTGGATAGGCTTTTTGGGTTTTTGGAGTGTTGAGGGCTTAGGGTTTACCGAGCATGATAACGTTGGTTTGTCTTTACGGGCTTTCGTAATTAGAGTAAGACTTTTGTGTGAGTTGCAGTGCTTTTATAGTAAGGACTACGTGACTACATTGGGGATAGTCTTACTTGTCAGTCAGATCTCCTCTGTTTCAGAACTGCTCCGAGGCACGTCCAGGCCTTCTGGTTCCTGCATTATGGCCTATTGAGTATTGAGCAGAAACCTGCCAAGACGCAACCTAGAACTCCGTGATTGTGGTTTGGCCGGACATTGCACGAAGATGGCCTAAACCCTGCTATCCTTTGTAATTCAGGTTTCGACTTTGCTAGTTCAGGCTGTCTTGCTCAGCTGCCTCTGGCTTACGCAGCAGAGAGGGTGATCGCTTGGCAACGTTATTTCGCGATGTTCAGGACGTGGTGAGAACCCCTAGACAGGAGTTCCAGATTTTCGAAGGCACCAATTCCAAGTGGAGTGCCCACCTAAGCATGTCTTCCGCCACTAAGAGCCTTCCTCACTGACAGGTTTCCCGTCGAAAGCTACTCGGATGCACTGCTCTATGTGCTTGTGGAACAGAACGTATGTACTCCACCCAGCAATTCTCGTTATGTCGGCTCGATTTACACCTCATGGCCCAACAGAACGGCGGACCCTTGGCAGACCTTGGCGACTGTTGTTTGAGCGCCGAGGCTTTCAGTCAGAAACCCACAACCTGAGTTCAACACCGCCACGTGCTTTGCGGTGCGACCATGAACCCCGAACCCGTGGAAAACCGGATAATTGCAAAGCTTGTTATTTATCAGGCCCTTTTTGGTGCTTAGCTTATTGCTCTCATGACGTTTAACCAGCATGGGTGCTACTATTCTGAGGTCCCTTCCCCAAGCCCTACACCCTAAATGCGAAATCCGAAACCCGAAGTGGAAGCCTAAACCTGAACTACTAAACTCTAAACGCAATGCCCTAAACGCCTCAACCCCAAAACCCCAGCCCCCAAACCTTACTTCCGAAACCGAGGACTCTTCGCAGGGACTCTCCTCAAAGCGTATCCTCTCGAGTAGCTCCGTGAGCACCATGGCTTCGGAGTCGGAGGCTGGGTTCCCACGGAGCTGCTGAAGAGGGCCTAGGGTTTAGGGCCGTTTAGGGTTTAGGGTTCAGGGCTTAGGGTTTAGGGGTTTAGAGTTACGAGTTTAGGAGGTTTGGGTTTGGGGTTTAACTAGGGGTTCAGGAGTTTAGGGTTCAGGAGGTTTACGAGTTCGGGGTTTAGTGTTCAGGGGTTTAGGAGTTCAGGGTTTGCGGTTTAGGAGTTTAGGGTGTGCTTTGGGGTTGAGTGTTCAGGATTCCAGGGCTTAGGGTTTAGAGTTTAGGAGTTTGGGGTCCTTGCGGTTTAGGGTTTAGGATCATGAGGCCTAGTAGCTGAAAGGGTTCCTTGCCCAGTTCCTTCATGGGTTCCATAAGGGACCTACAAGGGTTGGGGCTGGAAGCATTGTTAGTAACAAGAATGGGCTTGCACCAGAGTTACACTGGTTTTTGGCTCGATTCAACCTTTATAAGCCCCATGATCCCCTTGAGGTTCAGGGGATTTAGGGTTCAGGGTAGGAGGCATAGCGCTGGAGGCACAGACACACAATGTAACACACAATCTGCTGACGGTACCTATTGATTTGGGTTTGTCAGGGGTTTCAGAAGCCACGAGCTCTCCTTGAGCCCTCGACGCCGAAGCGCTCGATGCCACAGGACTACTCCATCTCCACCAAGGCCCGAGCTTGAACCATTCGTCGTGGATGTCCGTGTTTCTGGGGGAGCCGGGGTTTAGATTGAAGCTGACATTTGCAAGCAGAAGAGCTTCCAAAGCCCCACTGAACCGATCTGTTGTCGACGTCTGTGTGTGCGATTGACAGCTGTCGCTTTTCCTCTCGTATGCCGCGCAACGAACCCGCAACGTTTAGAGAGACGAGAGAGGACAGCTTTGTAAGTCAATGAGGCAAAGGTCGAGCCTCACGTGAAGCCTCGTAAAGCTTGAGGCTCCACCTTTGCGCCCTGCCCGGTGTCTGGTCAACCTGAGAGATCTTAATGGTCCTAAATTAGAACCTTCAGTCGCTTTCGGGCTCTCCGAAACGCATGGCCTCCGGCAGGTGAATCCGATGCGTAAGGACTTCTCGAGTGGCTCGGTGAGCTCGATGTGCTCGGAGCTCTGGGCAGACTGCCAAGACGACGGAGGCTGGAGCAGGGCAAATTGGCTCAGACTTTTCCGTGTGTCACCTTACCGTTGCATTTTTTGACAACAGGCATGGCAGCGATCGAGATCGGCCCCATCATCGAGGAGCTCAAATAAAAGAGACATTGCTGTTGCTGCTGTGCAAGGACGACGACACGACGACGACAGCCCTTCCCAGTATTTCCCAGTCTCAAAGCCACATTATGAAGGCTGCTTTCCCCCTGACTGCGAGGAGGAGGAGCGCGACAATCCGCGGGTGGCTGCTGCCAAGGATGGCAGCAAGGCTTGGGATTGGCTCAGGTAAGTGGGCTGAAGACCGAAAGTGCCGGGGTTGCCTCGCATCACAGCGACCAGAACTGGAAGAAGTTTCCGCCTTTGTCGCAGGCCGAGTTCACGCACAACCAGGTTCCCAAAACCGTGAATCTGGCCTCTTGGCGCAAGGATGGTTGTCTGAGCACGGGTCGTCTAGCATGCAGCTGGTGTCCTTATCGAAATGTCGCGTGCAGGCGGCGATCTGAACTTACAAACTCCTTGTGGTCTCTCCTAGTCGATGTCTTGACCGTCAGAGCCTGGGGGCAAAGTAGACTAGAGATTGCGACTGTGGCAAGGTGTAGGAGCAGCGAGGCGGTTGCAGCACAGTGTGACCTTGCAGGCTGCTGAATTCTCCAAAACGCCGCTTCGAACCCCTCCAACCACGATGATGATTCGCGACTTGGCCTCCTGAGCAGCTCCCAGAAAAATTTGTCGCTGTTGTAGCCATGGCTGCGCTGCAAGACGTGTGACTACCTGTGGTCTGCAGAGCTCAGGTAACATCCCCAACCGCTACACACAACGGGAGTTCGTGCGCGAGTTGGATGGGCTTGGCTTTGCAGGAACATACGACTTCCTGCACTTCGGCAGAGATTGAAGTGACGGTCAGCCGAAATTGGGATTTAATACGAAGAGCAATCATTCGCAACAGTGGACAAAGCATAAGAGTATCATAACAGCAGCTATCAAACCATCTTGGACCGGCGCACAGGCACTTGTCGGCGGTGTAGCGCGAGAGTTGTAGATCATGCGACGGTTTGGAGCCGGCAGGTCAGAGACGGTGAAGGGTTATAGTTTCAGGTTTAGTATTTGGGCTGCAGTATCTTTCCAGAATTTCAGGATTCATGATAAACTCGTCTTCCTGTCTGCAAGGTACCTGCCAATTGACAAGGGCACCCTGTGCAATGCGGCTCGGCGACAACTGTCACACCAGCGAGGTTCTGGACTGGGGGGACCTTCACCGACAACCGTCACAGCGAAGTCCTGAGCCCCGCAAACCCAAACCAATGCACAGAAGCCCTAGCACAGCGAGCCTTGTCCGAGTGAGCTCCAGAATGTCAGGGGATCGGTGAAGGGGCGCAGCTGCCCCTCTGAGTTGTGATCCTTGTTGTTCCCCTCTTGGAGCCTGTACTTGCTACCCAAACTTGTGCATGATCATGGGTTTTGCAGCTTGCGCCGGGCAGAAATCCGACATGGAGGGAGTCCTCATGAGCTTCGAAGTGTTGGCATTTTTCAGCCCTCCCAAGCACACTCTAGAAGCCCTAAGCGCCAAAAAGCTGCGGCCGAAAGTCAGGTTGGCTATGCTTTTGTGAACTTCTTGGAGCCGATCCCCGCCCAGCGCTGTATGGAGGCAGGGAAGCAGCTCTTGCCTGGTGGGGGTTTCCTTGGCTTTGGGTTGCACGAGACGGGGGTAAGGTTGAAGGATTGAGAATGACAGTGATGACATTGACAACGCTGCCGATGATGATGCTGATGATGATGGTGCAACTGATGATGATGACGATGATGGTGATGATGTCTAATGTTAAGTCTCATGATAACGATGATGACGACGATGGCTGTCACGCCCTCAACCTAAACCTTAAGCCTCAACCCCGGAGCCTAGCGGCCTAGCATGTCTGTGCCTGCGGCCTGGACCCTGCAGCCCCGAAAGAGAGAAGACGTTTTCAATGGTGTCCCTATGCGAAAACTTGTCCCAGAGGTCTTCCACAACTACATCTTCCAGCGCTACCGTAAGGCCGGGATTTTCAGTTTCGTGTCAGGGTGCAGCAGGAAGGCGACAGGAGTGCTGCAAGAACGCGATGTTGAGGAAAGCGCCAGTGCAAAGCACACCTGGCTTAAGTCGCAATGTCAATGCCTAGAATACATGCAAGGGCTGCGGGCACAGAGACTATATCAAGACGTGGTTTGTGGCATGGAAGGTGCGTGGCAAGATCGCAGCTGTGTCCATCGCCCACATCCAGGAGCTTGATGTTGCTGTTCAGATGTCGGGTTTGTGCGGATTGGTATCTGGATCTTAGGCTTGTCGCTTGACGGTAAGTTTAGGTTTAGGGGGTTGGGGTTTCGGGTGTGCGTGCAGTTCAGGCAGAGCGACGCATTGTTTGCAGTGGTATGTAATCCTAATCCATACGTCTTGACCGGCTTGCCATCGAATTGATGTTGCTGCGAAAAGCAGTCTACCACAGTCGTGGTAGCAAGCCCGACGAGATGGGAGACAGCGGCCGAATGTTGAACAGTGCTAGCCAGCCACACAGGGTGCTTTCACAAATTATGATGATATAGGTTGTCATCTGGTGCAGCCTGTTGCCGTGTTTTTTTCATTTCGTTCATACGGTAGTCTGTTTTGCTTGGAGATGTACATCCCACCGCAGCAGTGCAGGGCAACATCGCCCAGAAGAAAAGCATTGTGTTCCCATTCTTTTAAACCCGAGCCAGCTGTCGCTGGCAGCTCCTAATATCTTTTCGAGCTCTTGGAAACCGTCAGCTGCTGCGAGGTCTTGTTCTGTAGGGCGATTGTCTGGGACGTGCGATTGTGGCAGCAATGGTGAACTTTGCCATCGTGTCCCCTCCTGCTGTTACACCTCGGAGCCTTAATGTTCCGTTCTCGTCAGCCCCCAGCGGTAAAGCCCCGAGCCCAACACGGTCTTCTGACAGGGTCTGGAAGCCAACATGCGTCACTACGAGCTTCTCGCCGGCAATTGGGCGTGAACTGCACGCAGCTCCCTAACCCAAAACCGCGAGCACGAAACCCTAAGCCTCTTCCCCCAGACTGCGAATCAGACATTTTCTCATCGGGAGGCACACGTCCCAAGACCCCACGGCTTGCAGCCGAAATTGGAGCTGCCAGAATCACCTCGTTCTTGTTCTATCAAACTTCGCCTTCCTGCTACTCTTCCTGGTACTTCTCGTCTCAAACCCTCAGCCCTGGACCGTAAAACCGAGCTCTGCCAAGGAACTCGGCCGTGAACATGGCCCCACGCATCAAGCAGCAGCGCGGTCCTCTCATCATCCCGCGCGGAAGCACGGGAAGCCACTGGGCTTAGCTCAGGGTCCAGGGCCAGTTTAGGGTGTACAGGGTTTTTGGGTGTATTTGGGTCGGAATCTAAGAGAGAGGTGTGTTTGTTGCATGAGGTCTGAACCACAAAGCCGCCAACACTGTCTAGGCAGCGCTCGGAGCTGAGGCGAGATTTGCCCATGAGGCATCGGCGACTTCTCAGGGGGAGCAGCGCTCAAATTCGCCAGGGACACCCGCGTGCAGAGTAGCAGTAGATATGGTGAGTCGTAGTAAGTTTCGAGATGGTCCATATGGTGAGTCGTAGAAAGATATCATGCTGCCGGCTGCATGCGCGAACAGTGCGCGTAGGACAAGGCAATGTGAATCAGAACCGTCAGAAGTGAAAGAAGCTCTGGCAAGAGGACTGTCGTGAAGGGTGTGCCGGGCGAAGGAGCTTAGGCTAGATCTCTGGGGTCACAAGGCCCTTAGAGCATGGCAGGTCATCTTCCATTTTCCTGATCTGCTTTCAGGGAAACCCAATGCGGATCGGTCAACCTACATGAGGCGGAAGCGCGAGACAAGACGTAACACGATTCGACTGAGATGTTAGAGTCGCTCTGCATCAGATACTGCCAGAGGTTAGAATAATCGTCGCAGATGCAGTCATGCAAATTCCGCTGGTGCCGCGACCGGCTGCTTGCAGCTTCTAGCAGACTCTAGCACACCGCCTGCTTCGGCAACAGAGAGATGAAACAATCGGAACTCACGCGAACCTTCACCGACTGAGATCGGATAGCCCAGAATAAATCAACATGCTGATGCAAGCCTGCTTTTCTTCGCCAATCAGGGGATTGCGAACTCGGAAAGGAGGAATGGTGCAGAATAGGAGTACTCATACAGCAGAGACAGCAGCATTCTATGGAGTAGACATGCGCATGCCCCTCCTGGATTCCCACAGCCAAGACGAAGTAAGCAGTTATCATGATGGGAGCAATGATGGTAATGATCGATCCGATAGGATTTGTTTCCAGGTACCTGTCGCTGTTAATGTCTGCGTCTTGTGTTCAAACTTTCCGTGGTAGCCTTTAGGAAGTGCGATCGTTTTGGAAGAGCACTAAAAGTCACGTAAACGCTGACGCTGCTCAGTGAGATGACCACATCCGCACTTGGGGTTGAGTTTTTGCAAATGAGTTTTTGCAACAAAGATCACCCGAGTTGGTCGAGGACAAGGGGAGCTGGTAGATTTCGGCAGCCCAAGATGCCATCTCGCCATCCTGCTCCCTGAAAGGAGCTACTGAAAATCACAGGACAGAGCTGCGGTTGCCAAGTCCTGATGCCTCGGTGACGGCTAAGCCTAAGCGTGGCTAAGTGCATGAAAGAGGCGTACGTACATGTGTTTGCGCGCGCGCACGCGCGCGCGGGTGTGTGTGTGTGTGTGTGTGTGTGTGTATGTGTGTGTATGTGTGTGCGCGTGCGTGTGCGCGTGCTTTTGTTTGCGTGCATAAACGTATAGTGTGTACATACACTTTTCATAAGCACATATCACATATCGATGTGTGAAAGCAGGTCTGCTTCCATCCGTTCTTCGGTCTCATCCATCAGTGCACATCTACTTTGTAGGTTCTTGCGACTTGTTGCACATGTGTCAAGTCTCTGTGTGGGTTGTGAAGCACATATCGGCAGAGACATGTTCGTCGTCGTCTGAATAGTCAGTAATCAGGCATCTCGCCAATCTCTGACCTGGCATTTCTTCCGATACTGGACAGATGCCTGCACTCCGTGCGGGCACCCGCGACATGATCGTCGTTGCCTGCAGATTGGGGCCCCTATGTAACGATATGTATGTACACATATATATATATATGTATACCTCTATCTATAGCTGTATCTTTACCTATCTATCTGTCTATATAAATAAATATATATGGTCACCCCCCCCCCCATGACAGACCATGCCCTTTCGACTCAGTCGTAGTGCATGGTCTGTGATCGGGGGGAGGGGGCACTCAGCTTTCAAAGCCTCAATTCCAAAATTTCCAAAATTTCCAAAATTCTCTCCCCTAACTTTCCGGATTTCCAAAATTTCCAAAATTTCCAAAATTTCCAAAATTTCCGAAATTTCCAAAATTTCCAAAATTTCCAAAATTTCCAAAATTTCCAAAAAGTCCGCCCTTATGTTTTGGAAAAATCCTGTCGACTAGGTCGGGAAATTTTGGAAATTTTGGAAATTTTGGAAATTTTGGAAAATTCGGAAATTTTGGAAATTTTGGAAATTTTGGAAATTTTGGAAATTTTGGAAATTTTGGAAATTTTGGAAATTTTGGAAATTTTGGAAATTTTGGAAATTTTGGAAATGCGGAAAGTTAGGGGAGAGAATTTTGGAAATTTTGGAAATTTTGGAAATGCTGGAATCTGTTCTATATATGACTCAAGTAAGATTACTGTGTAGTGCTTACTATGTAGTGTATCAGCACAACCCTCATCCATACACGTGTGCTCTGTAATTCCTTTCTTGGTAGGACACCCGCGCGCCTTGTCGTGCTAGTCTCCGCATCGGACCAGATTACTTGCAAAGGCAAGGGCTGTCAATACTCATGCCCATATTTACACGAATATCTCTCTATCTATCTGTATATCTATATATACATATATGTATTGATACTCCTACATATAGTATTGCCATTGAACATACTGACATTGATCATTTGTTGAATGCTCAAGCTAATACCAGCATTACTACTAATATTACACTTCTATAAAGCTTAGTACGAATATGCATAACACAAATACTAAGATTGATTAGTATTGCTCTTAGTACTCCTACGCATATCAATAACCATATTCATATTGATAATAATGTATAATAATACCAATACTAACACACACCTGTATGTACTAATGTACATAAACATGCATACCACCATATTAAAATACAAATCCTTTAACTCACTCATGAATTCAACTGTTAGAATTTCACGTGGTCTGCACTATGCAAGAATACCGACATGACAAGTTCGTATACTAATATGCCAACATACTGATATACTTATACATGATTAGATAAAACAGTAATATAGTACACATATTCGTACACTAATATGCTAGCGTACGAATATACTGGTATGTCAATATACTAGTAAGCTAATACAGCAGTATAGTAGTGTAGTCATGCACCAGTTGTACTAACATGTAAAATATACTAGTATACAAGTATGCAAATATTTTGCTGTCCGAATACATTGATGTATTGATATACTAATCTGCTAATATACGAGACTATCAATATACTAACATATCAAAACTAACTAGTTCTAATATTGATACTAATACTAGCACTTCTGCGAATATAAGCTGCTGTTAAACCCAGCATTAAGACTGATACTGATACTACTCGTAGCAGTGGTGCTGTATTACTGACATTGACACTGGCACTAGCGCTAACTCTAACACGAACATGAGCACTAACACTAATTTATAGTTGGCAATATTGATACGTATACTTACAGCAAGCAATAGTACTAATATTAATAACAATACTCACCCTAATACCGATACTACCACAAGACTATTACGTAACTCATGTGCCGCACGTCTGGTGCTATACTATGTACCTCATGTAAAGGTTTTGCTTCATAGAATATCGTCGTGCACGATGTTTTTTAGACCCGCGGTCTGTCAACGGGGGGGGGGTGAGCATATATATATATATATATATATATATATATATATATATATATATATATATATATATATATATATATATATATATATATACGTATCTATATCTATACCTATACCTATATGTAGGTTTATACCTATAATCTATACCTATACCGATATGTAGATTTATATCTATACATATATCTATGTCTGTACCTATATCTATATCTGTATCTATGTCTATATATATATATATACACACACGGCTGCAGGTATAGTGGAGCTGGAAGCTCAGGTCTGCTCCGATTAAGTACGACAGGAGCCTCCAAATGAGAAGTTTGGGAAAGGTTCTAAAACCGAACCCTAAATCCTGAGCCCCGGCGGAACGTCCTTAACCCCAAGGCCTTAGCCCTAAAAACCCAGGGTCTGAACAGTGGCGATTGCCTTGATGCCAGAACCTGCCCTCGGTTTTCAGAATGTGGAACTCTGAATTAGGGTGTCAGGCTTGAAGAGGCTTTGGGTTGTGGGGTTTCAGGGAGCTTTGGGGTTTAAGGGGTTTCAGCAACAACTTAGGGCTTAAGGCTCACAATGCCCCAAGCCAGTTGCTGTAGGCATTGACTCAGGGGCCATTGAGTGGCACCCGGAAGTATTTGAGCTACCGTCGACTGATTTGCACGGCTGGCTGCCACGAAGGGGCGAGTGTGCAGTGTGCAGTGGGTTTGCGAGTTCATACGTTGTAGGTTTCGTGCCTGCGATGTCGACGCGTAACGATCGAGAGCCTCCGATGCAGCGTGAAACGGTTTGTGTTAACGTTTCTGGTGGCTGAGATGTGCTTATCGGCAAGAAGCTTACCGTTGTGGCCTCTCTGCGCTTTCGACCACTCTATCTTGCCATTTTTGCAAGTGTCATCTGTGGAGTATGGGCTCAATTTTCTCTTACAGGGATGAAATCTTCGCATGGGGAGGCTGTATTGGTGCGCGCCCCATGCTTCTTTTAAACGGGGGGGGATTCTTGATCTGTCTCCTTGGTTGATGAGTTTGTTCGTGTGTGACAGTGTGAGGACCACTTTGTTCAGAGATTCTTTGGGTCGCTCCAGGGTTACATGGGACGGGAAACGCTTCTAGCTTGAGCAGCCTGCCTGGCATGGATTCGTGGACAGGTCAGCATGTGATTGTACACAGCTGTCGCATGCACTGCAATTCCGGCGAGCTGGCTCAACAGGGACAGCTTTTGCCTGCCGCCTGGTCGATCAGAAGCTGGCATTATTGAGATTTGTTCTCAGTAGTTACGCTATCGTGATGCTGTGAAGAACTCTCCTCGACCTCCATTTGTCTATAGTTGGGATGCTGCGAAGCGGCTCTGCAACAAGCAGTGGCGGTGTCAGCATTGAGACTCTCAACGGTAAGCTCAAGACGCTGTTGACAAGAACCATACGAGAAGTATTTCGTCGGACGTCTGTCTGCAGGCGTACCGGTACGTCACAAAGCATCTTTGCTAAAGCTGGCTATATTTCGAGACTTGTCACCTTGATTGACGTGGATAGA